GAGAGACGTGTGTGTACACGCGGGAATGCGGGAGAGAAGAAACTCCGTACGTTTCCCGGACAGCACGCGTGCCCCAAAGGTGAGGCATGAGACAACGTCTAATGCGGCGTCTGCAAGACTTTAAGATTTAAATAATAATAATTATAATTTGAAGACTTAAGATTTAAGAAAATCGACCAATCGTACAGTCGTCGATCATTCATCTCACGTAAGAAGAATAATCGATTGTGATTAGTCAGTTTTCTTAAATCTTATATAATTAAGTCTGTTATAAGGCTCGTTGTAGACACCGCTTGTAGAGGACGTCATTTGGACGTTCACGTCATCACGTCGGTGCTGTCTGGGCTGTTCCGACGTCGCTCCGTGGTACATTCACACGAATCAATGCGCGAGGCTAGCTCCTAGTTCACAGAAATGCACGAAATTAAATAGTACGTATGCAATCCATCAGCGAGTTCAGAAATGCATGAAGTCAAATATGGTACATGTATACATTCGTTAATTTCGTCATTTCTTCCGTGTACACTCACACGATTCAATGCGAGGCTAAAACGCAGCTGAAACGTTCCGTCGGTCCATGTAACGAGAACGTCCTGCGAATAAACACGTTGCGTATAAGGAAACGTTGCGAATAACTCGTTTCATTCACCGAGAACATGCGATAACGCGCGTATAGACATCGAAACATTGTAATTTCCTTGGGCTCCCGATGTAACGCGACGCGACATTAACATCGCGAGAGCCGCCGAGCGATAGGTAATCACCTAAAGCCCATGTCACGCCCGTGCACTTTGGAGGATTGCGAATTAGAGATTAGATCAGTCGGGACGAAACGGATTAAAATCGAAATCACCTGACTGATTGAATTCTAATCTTCGATTCGCAATCCTCTGTCTTCTAACGCGCGTGACACGGGCTTAAGGCCAAGTGACACACCGAGAAACGAGGAAGGTGCGAAATTGGTTAAGCGATAAACGAAATTGGCCAATCCAAGAATTCTCGAAAAGGTAAGATTGACATTTTAAAATTCTCTCTTCTCTTGCTCAGAGTGAGATTGGTCGGTTCGTTTTGCCAATGGCCTTCGAATGTTTATACGAGTCACTCTTCAATGTAGAGTCAAGACAACAGCAAAATATCGTAAAAGTTTCCATATCTGATTATTCATGAAATGTGATGAACAGATATGACTTTATCGCAAAAATATGCGGTGAACAGATTTTGTAAGGACGTTATACGCAAGTCCTTTTTTTTGCGCTTTAAGTAGACCGCGCGATAAGAGTGGAAAAGGAAGAACTTAAGTGTTGCACATAAATGATATACATTTTTTTATGTATAAATATATATACATATATTTATATAATTTCCAAAAGCCACTCCTTGGTCGTTTCTGACTAAATACTTGCAATTATCGATAACAAATCTCGTTAACGGCATAAAAGACGATCACGAAGTTTTGTCAACATCAAAGAATTTCGACGTCCAAGATTTTCGTAGTAATTTAGTGTTCTAGCATTACAAGTTTTTCTAAGTATTAAAATTTTAATCACTCTATAATAGCTTTTTTCATTTTCTTCTCTTTAAAATTTTTTTTTCTCTCTCTTTTCTCTTTTATTTTTACGAGAATGTTAGCACAACTTCGACCATTCTTTTCTAATTTTACGTTAATAAGTATCAAACGGCGTAAAAGACGATAAAATTCTTACATTCTCACTGACTTCGTCGAATTTTTTTGATTCACAGACCCTAAAAAAGGCTGTCTGTGCTGTAACAAGGAATCTTGTTTGTCGAACACTATATATTCTTATCTAGTCACAAAAGGTTATTCAAAATAAAGATAGTCAGAGAAAATAATTGTCGTGAGGAGAATCAGGAGGAAAAATTGGAGAAAAAGATGTACCTGTGAAAATAAGCAATTATAAAAATGGGCGTAAAGGGAGGACAAGAATCTATTTTTAATTAGAGATTCTACCTTTTAGGAATATTATAATTAAAAAGAATTCAAATCAAGCTTAACATCTTCTGACGCTGCCTTTAGGCTTTAGGGAGATTAGAGAGTCAAGTAATCTAATATCTAATCCCTCCAAACGCTTGATTCTTGCAACAAAGAAAAACTGATTCATAAATCATCAGCAAGGTTTGCCAGTCGTAAATTCCATCTTAGAGCGATGCTACTTTGCTCGATACAATCAAACTCGCTACGTGGGTGATGTCATTATTGCACACACGAACGTAGAAAGAAAAAGAAAGAAATCAATTAATTACACCGTGCGAATCGTGACGATTTCACACCGGGCGTACATGAATTTTTATATGTTTTGATAACACACTTTTGCGATATATGTAAAGAATGTAAAAGTAATAAAAAAAATAATAAAAAAAGAAAAGAAAACGCGAGCGAAAGACGAGGAGACGAAAATTTCCCGCCGCTGGCCAGCTGCTGTTTTTGACCACAGTACCGTTCGACTCTAGTTTATTTTTCTTTCTCACGACCAAAGAGAGGTAACGCGAAAAAAGTGGCTATTTCTTTTTTTAATCTTTCCACCATGACATATATTTCAGAACGGTGAGTGTGTGTGGTGGATGATGTTGCGTCCGTGACCGTCTGAATGCGTGAGTAACTGAGAAGCGTGGGCAGATGAGTCGGGTTGTCGAATCGCGTTGTACGAATCGCTTATATCGATAATAAAAAAAAAAGGCGAAATAAAATTAATTAACGGAAATACGTTTTGCGTTTGTTGAAGAGAAGAAAAAAGAAGTTCACACACAGTTGTTATACATATATATTGCGGTGAGCGAAATGCCGCTAAGACGATATTATGTGTCTATTATGTGACTTTATATTCAGATTCTCTTCTGTAGGTTTCATTAAAGTGCATTTCTTGTATGTTATTACAGTATTACAGTAGAAACATAAGAAAATAAATGAATGCAATAGTAAAATGTGCCTGCGTGTGTAGCTCATTCCCGTGTGCTTCTGCGAGCGCATCCTGATGAAAAAAATTTCCGTAATATCTCACAATATTTTCAAGAATTTTTCAGTGAAGATTTTTCGATTAAAAAATACCTTAAACTTCTTCAAATTTTATAAATTTAATTAGTTTTCTTCAGAAATTAGATCGCCGCGCCGGTAGACGCTTGTTAGATTTAGAATTTCTGAAATGTTTTATTTTCAAATAAGTAGTTTCTCTTTAGTTTTCAGTGAAAAAAGTTACAAAACTGTACTATAATACAAATAATTAAATAATTGGAACAAAATTATCATTAACCAAATTACTATTAAGAACGATCCTTTTGAACGTGAATTTTGACCACTTTCGTGAGATTGAATGTGACAGACATAAGAAAAAACAAATATATGCAAATACCGTTCGAGTCGAAGATCGTTCAGTGACGAAGACAAGCCTAGAGATTCAAAGAAGGTAATAAAATATTACTTAAGATTTCTATTTGTTATAATTATATCGTTTCAAAGATATATCGCTAAAATTAAATTTTAGCGATATATCTTTGGGATCAAAATATTAACATGCAATACTTATAGTGAATGAAAATTATTGGGATCATAGAATAGAAGACTAGAATAGGCGCCATCGAAGTTGCTTAAAAAATTTTGTTATTAATTTTTTAAGCAACTTCGATGGCGCCTATTCTAGTCTTCTATTCTATGATCCCAATAATTTTCATTCACTAGTATTGCATGTTAATATTTTGTAATTAATTTCATTTACTAGCATCATCAATATTCTTTCTTCAATCTTTATTATTAATATTATATTCTTTCTCGTTATAAGATAAAATTGTTTGCTGCATAAATACCTAAAAGAAAATAATGTATCAAGTCATTGACATCTGAATTTAGTGTAATTGAACGATACCTATATATGTACAAATTTATAGAAAATTTATAATAGTGAGAGGATAAAGGAGAAAAAGAAATTAAAAGTTCACACTTCTCAAGCAATCAAATCTCTTCCTAACATGTATATCTATCTTAATATTATCTCTATTTGAATTCTGGTGTGTCTTTCTAATCTTTTTTCTCTTCTTCGAAGATATTTTATTTAAAATGCAAAAAATATAGTCGAACAAAGCACAATATCTCTTAACGAGATATCGCAAAATTGTACCATTCATCCTATTATCAACAGTCATGGGAAACGTACATGAAAGGACAATACTCTTCGACAGGACGAAGAGGATCTGTTGCGTATACGGTAGGGACAAACGGTAGGGGCTTTGGATTACGAAAGTCTTATCGTATTATCAGGTTAGCGCTATCGTCAGCCGATTCCAGGAGGGATGGGACGGCGCAGGGTGTCTTGATGCCGGACCTTTCGGCAATTGGCAGTGCCCGTTGGGAACTGGTTCCCAGGCTCCGGACGGCGTGCTCAGCCGCCTCGTCCCAGCTCTTCCAGCTCACTCCCATATCTGAAAAAGCCCGTGTTGGGTCTATGTGTAGCCTATGCGCGACAAGCTCGGAGTACCCATTATTATTACTATTATTATTATTATTAGATAATTGTTTACAAATATTATCGGTTTATTTACAGTTGTATTCCCTAATTCATTTTCCGTAGCTGAAACTTATCTCTTTTTTGCGTCCATATTTTTTTCTGCATATTAGAAAACAATTTTTTTGCATATACGAAGGATATTCATTTATAATTTAGAAAAGGAAAGGTGAAAAAAATTGAAAACAAATTTATTTCAAGACGTTTTGATTTTGAGAAAACTTATCTTGACAGTGTAAACTAGAAATACATCTCTTCCTACTTTTCTTTTAATAAATTGTAAGATTTTTAACAGCTTAATATAATTATTAAGCGTCTCAATGATTAACTTTTTGACTACTAATGGTTATTTATTTTACTGTTTTATATGAGATATCAATTAATTTAGATTTAGAACATGCAATGGTGAGCGGATATCTGCGAACCAGCACGATCACGAGGAAAATGGGGAACGCAGTGTGATGGGAAAATATATATGTAATCCGTGCGTTCAAAACACATGATGCCTCTTATTCACAGTATTTCAACATAATTATACATAAGCCGAGCCACCTCTCGGACTTGATAAAAGCTCAACTGGACAGAAGAAATAAAAAAAAAAGGTGACGCGCACTTTGACGGTTTTTACTTCTTACTTTTCAGCTTGTCCGAACCCTCGTCAAAGTTGGGATCTTGAATGTTTAGCATCAGACTATTGCCACTGAGGAATACTCTATTCTGGGAAGCAGCAATCTGGAATAAAGCGAGTAATAATTACGTACATAATATTGTTCAAAGATTTAAGAATGTAAAACATTTAATTTTCACATCATGAAAATTTCATTGAGCTCTTTTAAAACATCGACAACGATGTTCGCACATTTATAAGATGCTCACCGTGCGCGAAATATTCTGCGCAGCTCGTATCTTACGTAGCTTCAAGTATCCAGGATTCTGGCTGACAGCTAGACCAAGGTGCACCGCAGTTAAGGCATTTATATTTCAAAGGTGACGCAGCATCGATGTTACATTAGTTTTTTTATAAACTCACAAATTATTAATTTAATCGTATACTCTTAAAATCACAGTAGAATTCAATTGTAAGCTTTAATTGCTTAGACAATTGCAAAGAGAGATAAAAAAAAGATTTATAGTTTTGACTATATCTTTCAATTCCTGACTAGCGATCGTTTCATCCGTTTTGATTAATAAAATACAACTGATTATATTATAAATTAAGTTTAAAAAAATTGTTTCTTTAAAGGATATCATTTTCGCTGCTTCCGCTTCTCCCTCAGCTTGTACGATCTTTTGTTGTCGTTCTTGCTTGGCCCTTTCCACAACGAATGCGGCTCGTTGAGCCTCCTGTTGAGCCACCTGTTTAGCCTCGACTGCGGCCGTGTATTCCTTGCCGAAGCTGAGCTCCGTTATCGAGACGTCATCCAGAACGATGTTGAAGTCCCGAGCGCGCTCCGTTAGCTCCTTACGCACCATGTTAGACACCTGCTGTCTTTGCGTAATCAGTTGCGAGGCGTTGAACTTGGCAACAACCGACTTCAGCACCTCATTACAAATGCTTGGCAGTACCTGAATTGTTAATTTTGATTTTTAAGTTCACGATTGCGCATTCATTTCATTACAAATTGAAATCAGTCATTAAGATTACTATCGGTAAACTTACAAATAATAATAGATTTTTTGTTATACACGTTAGAAAATTTGAGAATAGAAAATTGTATAGAGAAAAGTTACATCACACAAAATTTGAAAATTAAATATCTAAGTGTTCTAAATTATTTAAAATATCTAAAAATCTAGAATTTAATAATGTTCAGAGATCTCTTTTTCATTTTGCATTTATAAATAAGTCAATGTTCTTATGATCATTCTGAGAACCTTTTCGTCATAGTCGAGGCCGAGTTGCCGGTACATGGAAGGCAATGTGCTGGCTTCGGGACGCGAGAGAACACGCAGTGAGATATTGACCATTTGTAAATCTTTGGATCCCGTAGGCGAGGATATCTTCCTAGGTCTGCTCCTAATGTCATATATTATCGGATACTGAAACCACGGGATGCGAAAATGCAGACCCTCGGTCATTATATCCTTCTGAATACCTCCTAGTCGAGAGAATATGATCGCTCTGTGGCCGGCGTCCACTGAAATTCATAAATTTGATCTTCATGTAATCCGTCCATTTAAAAAGACCGAATTGTATCCTTCGTTATTTCAATCCAATTCAATTCCATTAATTCAATTTAATCATCTCCTTGTACAAAACAAAACGATCCAGATTTCTGTACCAAGGAGCAAGTTCAAAGCTAGTAACAATGCTGTAATTATTAACTTTGTAATAATAACTAATTTTGCATTAATAATTACAGCATTGTTACTAGCTTTGAACTTGCTCCTTGTCGGCACAGAAATCTCTGGATCGTTTTGTTTTGTACAAGGAGATGATTAAATTGAATTAATGGAATTTAATTGGATTGAAATAACGAAGGATACAATTCGGTCTTTTTAAATGGACGAATTATTAATAATCGGATGTATTGATAATAAAAATACAAGCTGAAAATATGTATTGTACAAAAATGTCTATTGTATGAAAAAGAGACTGCAAAAGTAAATACTGCATAGAATGTATTAAATTGCATCAGTTACACCGCAAATTACATAACCAAGAACGGTTGTAACGGACGGAGGAGGGGGGGAGGGGAAGTCTATCGAACAAGAAAACGTAAATCCGTGTAATGTCACACGTTGCTCGAGCTGGCACTCAAGGTCCTCGTTCATTCGGGAGAGAACGCGATGCTTGAGTTAACGAGCAGCAACAGGATAATCGCGATTATCAATAGAAGTGCAAAAGCGAGATTGAGGTTAACCTGTGTACATGGCTTTGGAAGCGGTGTACGCCGTAACGCCCACGGCGGCGAGAGCCTTCAGGCCCATGGGCACGCCCGTGCCCTTGCCGAAGCGCGAGGCCATCTCGTTGAACTTATTTTGCGCCATCGCGAGAAATTACACGCCGATCAACCGAAACACGCGACCAAACCGGCGAGCGACAGAATCCAAGATCCAAGAAGCATGAAAAACGTAGAAAAGGAGTGAGAAGACTGAGAAGGAGAGAGCGAGGGATTCTGGTCATAGACTTTATGTTAACTAGACTGCCCGCTCCTCTTCTTCTTGCACGGGGTAAATATTCAAGTGTTACGTTCTATCAAGTTGGCACCGCTGTGATCGTCGATCAGCTGACATCAGAAAATAGCCGAACCCAAACTCGAGAAGTCGTCAACTTTATTTAACAATTAACAGTTAATTATCTCGCGCTTTTGCGGGGCAAAGCGACGCAGGAATTATTTTTGCCAGATTCTCTCGATTTGAACAAAAACGCGTTGAGAGCCTAATTTATCATCCTAATCAGAGGTGAGAAAGTCCTACAATACGTCGTATGTCAGGTCGTAAGCCGTAAGAAATTGACCAATCACAATTCATTATTCTCTTCGAATTCAATGGCGATTGGTCCATTTCTTACGGCTTAAGGTTTAGGGCGAATTCACACCTTAACAGAAAAGCGGAAAACAGAAAAACAGAAGCCAATCAGAACTCCCACTGGTAGCAAGAAAAGCAGAAAGTAAAAACTAATGACTACCAACGCGAGTTCTGATTGGCTTCTGCTTTTCTGTTTTCCGCTTTTCAGCTGTCAAGGTGTGAATTCGCCCTTACAACACTTGGGGTACCTGCACACTGGACGCAAAAACGCTTGCCGCGCGGCAAGACACAACACGGTAGCCAATGGACGTGCCATCTTTCTTTAGGAGCTGTAAGTTTATTGGCTACTGCGTCGCATTTTGCCGCGCGGCAAGCATTTCCGCGTCCAGTGTGCAGGAGCCCTTATTGTGTTTTGGGACTTAGAGAGGATTCGCATTGGAGCGAAAAGGCAGAAACCAATCAGAAGTTGCATTTAGCTATCAATCTGCCTTTCCGCATTCTCTGCTTTTCCGCGCTAATGTAAACCCTCCCGAAGGCATAAGAAAATCAACCAATCAGAGTATAAGATAAAGAGCCAAGAAATAATCGCATCCGCTAGCCGCGGGTCACTATTGTGATACGGGCCTAATAAAGCCCAATGCGGCCATTGAGGTCATAATCGGAGCACGCGATAAAAGATCAATTTTTATTGCACAAGATAAAATGAAATTTGTTCTATTATTGTAAGAATCCATAATCAATTAAAAACACAATAATAATGAATAAAAAGTGTATGTACAACGCTGAATTCGAATTGGCGCAGGAAGATAGCGAGTATCTGGAGTCAATTTCTCATTGGCTGTTAGAAATCCCGCGCAATAGCACATCTTTGATACTACCGCTTCCGCGTCCAGCCTGCGCCCCTCGCATCTCCCGCTCTACCGTTTTTTTTTTTACGCGCGCCACGCCGTGTGCAATAGAAATATGGCGGGTGTCGCCTCGCTCTCGTACCGTTTCGCGAACGAACGACGATAGAGGGGAAAAGAAGAGTAAGAGAAGAAGAGCAGGAGGAATAATCACGCTGCTTCACGGCCATCCCTCGATGCGTCTCGCGTCGTCGCGCGCGGGAGTACTCCGTTTCACGCGTGCCGCCAAAGGTAAAACCGGCCGACATCGACCATTGTGCGGGGCGGGAGGGTTGAAGGGGAGGGGGGACTCGCCGACTCGAGGTAACCGGCGTAGCGAAAACGTTCCGCTCGCGGCGACGCGGGCAGACGCTGATATCTCGCGTCCGCGACGGCGATACTCCCGGCCGGCGGCGGGGTCGCCGCGTCGCGCCGCATTGCGTTTTGACAGTTGCCCCCCCCCCCGCGTTCCACGGGCCGGCTCGCTCCGTCCCGCGGTTCCCGCCGTAACCTGTGCGTCGCCATTGTAAACACCGTCGCACGCACGCGGCACCCGCACGGGGATCGCGCCTGGAGCACGTGTCGCCGCGCCCGCGTTCCCTCGCGCCGCGACGCCGACGATCCGCGCGACTGCGGAATCTCGCATTTCAATTCCGAGACAATTTCAGCCACGTTGTCAGTTGATTTCTCAAATTGCCAAATTTCTTAACGCGAATCGCATTTCTGCCGATTTAACAAAATTTATTTATCCATGTTTTACGATTTTACATTTTTTTTTGTTGCTAATTTTCGCGTATTTACTTTCAGAGCACTCGCCGTGATCTGCCGAAAACAATGTCTAACCCCGAGGAGGCGGACACCTGCGTGCCAGACACGCAGGAGACCTACTATGAAGGTGCCAGCGAGAGCTTCAAAATTATCGGCGAGACGCATAGCGCGAGCTTGAACGAGAGTCAAGACTTTCGTCTCGTCGACTCCGAGGGAGACGAGAGTATGGTAGAAAGGACGAAGCAGATGCAGGACGCACAGGCCGATGACCAGAAATCGAGCGAGCGGACGGATCCGCAAGAAATCTCGCAGGCGTTGCGTACAGAGGACGATAACGCGATAACTGCAACTGTCGTGGATGAAAAGGCAAGCGAAAGCGAGGCGATTGAAAAGACCGGAGGTAACGTATCCGGCGAGTTGCGCGAGTCGGAGAAGAAAGATGAGCTCTCCGACGAGGACGAGATCATCCAAGGTACGCCTCCCCAGAGTTACTCGCCATCCAGAAAACTGAGTGGCGTCGACGTCACGAGCCTTAAGCGTAAAGCCGAGTCTGTGGACGAGCCACCCGCTAAGGTTCCAAAAATAACGTCCGCGGATGACGCGAAAGATAACGAGAAACGGCTCGAGGTGGAGGAGGAAGAGAGTCGTCAGTCTTGCGAATCTGACGATTCGTATCAGGATCTGTTCAAGAATATCGACAAGAATGTTATAATAGAGGAGACTCAAGAACCAGCCACTCTAGAGTTTAATCAGAACACCCTGAAGATTCCCGCCGAGCGCCCCGCGGGAGAGACGACAATTGACGACAAGCCTCGGGAGTGTCGTACCGAGCAGATGAGCCAGTCGCAGGACGGGACCTCCGAGAAGAACGACATGGAGAAAGACGAGAATCTGAATGTCTCCGCGAAGTCGACCGACATCAGCGGCAACGACAGCACCCTCGCCAATATAAACTCCACGAGCGAAAACGAGTCCCAGCTGGAGGTCAATCTGTCGGTCGGACAAGAGGACGTTACTTCCACGAGCGTTGTAATAGCCGACGAGAAGTCGGGGATTGGAACGTTCGACAAGACGCAGCCCGCGAAGGGCGCAGAGACGGCGTCCGGAAATGAAAACAGTCAAGCGGAGCAGTCGAGTTGCGTCAAACCGGCCGAGAGGGCCGTCAACAGCAACGACGAGGAGATCCCGTCCTCGCAGAGGACCAAGTCGCGCATCAGCGTGGAGTTGATATTCGAGGGCGCGAATCGCACCGTCGGCGACGGTGACGGCAGATCGAAGCCGCAGGTGGTGCAGATCGACGACGACGGCGAGATGATATTGGACTCGTCGGCCGAGATGACGTACGATAATCGGCAGAGCGCGAAGAAAACGAGGCCCGAGGTTGTCCAGATCGACGATTCGCACGAGGACGGCGAGAACTTGGAGAGGAGCGCCGAGATCGAGGTGATCGCGAGCAGTAACAAGAGCAGTTACGAGAGCAAGATCTCGCCGCAGGAGAGCACCGATTTCAGTTACAAGGAGAGCATGAAGGAGTCGTCCCTGGAATCGAAGTCGATGGACAAGAGGCTGGTGAATGGCAGCAGCGAGTCCAAGAAGAGCGACACCGATGTGACCCTGAGCCTCGACTCGGACACATTTTCCGACGAGCCTCTTCTGTCCGCTGCCGCGCATGATACGAAGAAAATAGATGGCGTCAGGAGCAACCGCTTCATGCTGAAGGACGTGGACAACCTCGAACTCATCAGCATAAGCGACAACGAAACGTCCAACGTGGACGAGAAGAATAAATCCGATCTGAATAGCAGCACACTGGCTAAGACCGTGCAGGTGAATACTAGCACTAGTAAATACTCGTCTGTCTGTAGCATATAAATTTTATATAAGAATATAATAGATTTTATATCATTTTTAAATTAAATCGCAAAAGATTTACGCTCCGAGATTTGAAATTTAAAATAAAAATTATACTGGGCCAGGAGCCAAAGGGCTTAGTGCTAACCGCTTATATTTTTGCAATAAAAATTACATAATATAATACTGGACGATCGTTTCGATATTATAAAGGAGGGCTTGATATCAAGCCGAAACGATCGTCTGGTATTATATTATCTTATGTAAATTTTATTGGAAAAATGTAAGCGGTTAGCACTAAGACCTTGCTTGGCTCCTGGCCCAGTATAACTTTTATTTTATATTATAAAAGATACATAAATTAATTAATGAACGTAGATATATGTTTACTACGTAAAAATTTTATTGTAAAATTTCTGCGTGCACACAAAATACGTGAGAAAAATATCATTACAGGTGAAGCGGGAAATCGGTGTATATGTAAGGATCAAGTGTCTGATGCACGTGGACGAGAGCGCGAAAGAGCCCGTGAGAAAGGAGGTGATTGAAGTGCAGTGCGAGCCGGTAATCGAGCCTATGGCGGGCAAGCAAAAGAACGAGGACAGTCAGTCCTCGTTGGCGGACATCTCCGACAATAAGGACTCGTCGCCCGGTTCCGTAAGCAGCAATCCTCAGTACCAGCTGCAGTCCCGAATGTCCCTAATGTCGTCGGTCAGCTCGAGCAGCTCGGCGTCCAGCGCGGCTTCTTTGGCGACAAAGCTCGGAAGAAAGTATATCTTTCAGATGCCGGTGGGTCCGGTGAAGCACGCGAAGAAATCCTCCCAGGACATTCTGTCGACGGACAAGCAGACGTTGGACGAGACCTACGAACGTCTGACGCGCGAGTGGAAGAACCACCGCTTGCTCACGACGACGATCCTGAATTACATGAATACGGAAGTGGCCGGCACCTCCACCGCCACCACGGCCGTCGCGATGGCCGATACCTTGAACGTGAGCAACGAGCGGCTGGATCATCATCATTTGGAAGAGAATATGCGCTCGTCGACGCCGGCGGACCTCACGACGAATTTGAAGCTGGAACTCACGCCGAAAAGCACGAAGAAGGGCAAAGCTGCGAAGAGACCGAGAAGCAAATTGGCGAGGTCGAACGCCGCGCAGATCAACGGCAAGGAGACCGACGCCGGCAATATTCTGAACGAGCCGGCCGTGCACACGGAGTCGGACGCGCCATCGAGTAGGAAGAAGATCAAGATAGAAAGTTCAGAGGATCGGCTGCTGATGAGCGACTTGGACGCCTCGGCGAATTCGTCGCCGCAAGGCTCGCCGGCCGACGAGCTGATCGGCAAGGAGGTGTTCGCCAAATGGTCGGACAACAAATACTATCCCGGCACGGTGTGCGGTCGGCTGAAGACCAAGTACAAGGTGATCTTCTACGACGGCAAGAGCAAGACACTTATACCCGAGTTTGTGATACCGATACCAAAGCCTCTGTCGAAGGGAATGTCCGTGTACGCGACCAACGATCGCGGATTCTCCCCTGCCATTATCATCGACGTTCAACCACCTGGCGAACAATCTGGTGACAACACGGACTACAGGCACACGTACTACACGGTGGAGATGGACGATGATGAACGATTACGTGTGCAAGTGCAAGACATCTCTCTGTCTGCCGATCAGGCGAAGATGCTCAAGGAGGAGATGAACAACCCCGTGGATGGTACGAGCTTGCCGCCGAGCACACCGAAGGCGCTCGGCCAGGTGACCCTGGACAACATGGTCGACGGCAAGCGACGCTCCAAGAGAGTCGGCACGCCGCTCTTTTCGACTCCCAAGTCCAGGAGCAGCGGGTCGAGCACCTCGACCAGTAAATCCAGTAGATCGACCAGCAAATCGGAGCCCTCGGTGTCCGGCATGTCCACCAAGTTGAAGAAGGAGAAGGCTTCGTCCTCGGAGAACGAGAGTTTGTCGAGCGACCCGGGATGTCAGGACGAGTATCTTCTGTTGGGCATGCAGAGAGAAATAGACAGCATGCCGTACGAGCAGATAAAGGGACCGCCGAGTAGGATTAAGAGCAAGTCACGCAGCAAGAGGATAGAGGATCCGCAAACGATCAAGGATCTTGGTCCGATCCCAAACTCCAATATCTTTAAGGGCATGTCGTTCCTTTTATCCTGCGCACCGCTGGAAACAATAGACAGGTATATCTTTCTTATTTATTTATTCGCTTGACAATTGAAACGAGGCGATTTTAATTCTAATAAGAATCGGAAGGACCGAGTTTTAGCAAAATATTGGTTTGGAACATCAAACAGAAATGGAGTTAACATAATAAATGAGAATATTAATGCAGAAATATATTGAATTATAAAATAAAAAGATATAGCTTTCTTAAGATACAAAATGTTTTTTGCCTTCCTTTCGTGTTTTCTTGTTTAAGAAAATTCAATTCGCATCCTATTCGCTAACTTGTTCTCTGTGCCATTTCAGGTACCTGGACACGAAGATACCTGCTGCGTCGGAAGGTGAGGTTTCGGCCACCGAAACCGAGGATCCCGGGACTGATTACGATGACGATTGGAAGAAATCACCTCCTTTCGTGCGCGACAGACTGCGCACGCAGATCGAAGCGGGCGGCGGGAAGGTGTACGAGGAGTTCGACCAGATACCGAAGGATGAGTACGAAAATACGATGCTCGTCACGAACGTGCCGAACACTACGTCTAAGAGCATATTATGTCTGTCGGCCGGCATCCCCGTGTGCCATCACAAGTGGATCATCAGATCCTGCGCAGAGGTAAAGCGACATCTCTCATGTTCTATATTAATTCTTTAACCGTATGCTTAATATTTTTAGTGTAAATTTAAAGAAAATATGGATTACCATCTCACAAGTTTTTGTATATATTTTGGATATACGTATCCAAATTAAAATTAAAGGGGGACACTTGGTTATGTTCCTTTATCAGATCTAAAACAAATTTTTATCCCTTGTAAGATTCGGCTTAAATTTGTACAATAATTTTGTATAAAAAAGTATACATAAGATAAGGGTCGTGATTGAATCCGATACCTCTGACTGTGACTACTATGAGTCGATCGCTCTTATATGGAACTACGTGTCACCTAGATATATGTCTAGCATTAATATTAAATTTAATTTAAAATTCGTTGTGTATATATAAACACACTTTATATCTTTATTAATATCTTCTTTTTTCACAATCTTGTTTCATTGTAGTTTTTTAAATAATTTTTTCGCAATAGTTAACATGACCTGGTTTACTATTGTATTTGTAAAAATTTGATTAAATCACCATTATGTTTTACACTCAAGTTTTTTAAAAATTGACATTTCAAGAAACACGATAGTGGCTCGCTTTTAAATTATCTAAGTATCCATGACAATGCGATTTCACAATAATTCTTCAGATTCAAGAATAATTATTAGATCTGAAGGATTATTGTAAAAAAAAAACACATTGTTATAGATATTTGAATAAATAATCCAAAAAAATGTCAATTTTGAAAAAAAAATTTGTTTACAAACTCTTGACCTGGAATTGTGCATTTGTCCGTATGTTTTTAGGAAAAGACCGTGAACCCAGCGGAAGAGATTCTTCCAAACTGGAGTTTACACAAAAAATGCTACATAGATATGGTCAAGACAGGCGGAAAGAAGCCGTTGACTGAAGTCGTCGTGATAATAATTCCTAGTCCGACATTCAAAGGACTACTTGTTAAATTCTGGCAGCAAGTCTGCGAAAACGCTGGCGCGGCAGTTTTAATCGCAGAGAACCAAGGTATATTTGATTTTATCAGGAATTATAGATTCCTTTGAAGCACGCGCGCGTACACACACACACACATACACACAAATTTATTTTATAAGATACATAGATGAAACAAAAGTATCAAAAAAAAAGACAATCGTGTTCAGTGGTAGAATTGTTACAACGGAATAATTTGAGTCTGTAAGTGTTCACCAGCGCTCTCATCGCTATTTTTCTCATGTTGCTCACACATCAGATCTTTGTCTGTATATAACGCCATTTATTAATATTTTGAATGTACAATTTATTATTTTATAATAATAAAATTGCTATATATATGTGAATATTAAAATACACTTTAAAGTTTAGGTGTATTTTAATTCAATTCAGTACGCTCAAATAACATAAATAATTTGCAATTAGAGAAAGACTGAGTTATTGCGTAACACGAAGAAAATTATCAAGGCGCTCGTGAACACTACCGGGACTCAAACCTGAGACTTTATTTTCCCAAGCAATCATTCTGTCACTTACACAATTGACCTTTCCTTCATATATCTGTGTTTCACTTATATATCTTACATTTTAACAATATATTACATTAGCTACATATAATATTAAAAGAAAAATATATAATCTATTAAAATGTATAAAAAGTAAAAACTCAAATAAAATTACTTTACACGCGTAAATTATCTCAAATAAATTACGATTAATAGAAAAGCTTACAAAAAAAATTTTTTTTTTTTTTCAGGGGCCATGGACAAGATAGATTTTGACTTGAAAAATGTAGTCGTCGTGTCTAATCAGATGTGTCCGTCATGGGCAGTGCACAGGGCGAGGCAACTGCAAATGGACGTGCTATCCACTACGTGGGTGATTCAGTGTATAATCGAGGGCAAGCGCTGTCCGCCTAAGCAGCATTCGTGTTACGCGTACAATTATAAAAACGGGGCTTAATTAGAAAGCCGTTGTTTTTTCGTGAGTACGTCGCCTATAATCAATGTGGCTACCAGTCAATATATTTTTTTCCGAGTTTTTCTTTCCATTTTTATCGGTCTTCCACGTCGTCTTGCGATAAAACGTAAGAGCCGAAAGAATACAATCGTGAGCCTGGAAATTTTTTTTATAATTTACTATTTCTGATACACTAGCAGCATATTATTTTAGTTCCGTCGTATGTACAGTCATATATATATACACCTTCTCCAGACAGATTTCCGAACTGTTCTTCCCATTTTACGTTCGACATAATGAAGGGGCACGTTCAGCAGACAGATGAGATCAGTGAGAGTTCAGTGATTCTTTGTTACAGTTGATTTATTTTCACTCTAAATCCGAAAAACTCTAAAGCGAAAAACTAAAGGCAAAATCAGTCATATTATTAAAGAATCACTGAGCGCTCACTGATCTGAACTTTGACCGCTGAACGCGCACGTTGACGATTGGGATAATTCATGCACTCTTTGATATGGCGATTCATCCTCGCGCGAGGACACGTGCGTGGCGGTTTACACTTTTGTAAGATTTTTGTATAAAAATGGACGCGGATTAATTTTATATGCGATACATGAGCACGTGACTGCCCTTATCGTGTGTAAAGCGGTGTCTCGTAAAAGATCTCTATCTTTACCGAATCGTGCCGCTGCGAGTCGCGTTTATAAGAAACGCGAGTTTAATTTCAATCAACGCGGCTGACGTACTTGAGGAAACGACGAGGTTTCATATCAATAAGTTCGTACTCCGCTTTCTATCGATTTTTTTTTCTTTAAAAAAAGGGGCACATCTACTTGTAATCGCCTGCCATCAACTGATTTAACGACATTAAGGCTCCTGTTTCCTCATAACGTGGAATTACAGCGAAAGCCAGAGACAAGGAGAATTTTTTTCCTTGCAATAACAGACCGTTAAATTTTCTAAATAAATAAATTTTTTCGCGCTTATTCGATAATACTTTTTTGTTCTTTCTGGAAATGCAAAACGTTTTTGTACGTGACGTAAACAAATGATGCATGCAAATTAATTTATTTCGAAGTATGCACGAAGTTTATATTATTTTCAAAATTCTGATCGTTTACGACCGTATTCGTTACGACCGCAGCCAGAGGCAGCAGGACCCTTAAGAGAATATTTTTATGAAAGATAAAAAGAGTACCTTGTGTGTGATGGACGCAATCGACGTTTGTAATGCAGATACAGTCAAAAAACTCCAATTTTTATTGAAGTAAATTACCAAGTAGAGGCGTACGTTTTTGTACGTGCACATGTGCGAAGACGCAATGTATATAAGTAAATATATACTATACAAATTTTATTACATATACATATATATTATATATATATATATATATATATACATATATATAGTAAATTATAGCTATTATGTACAATAATGTCCAGGGATAAAATATAGTGACATATTTTGGCAGATGTTCTCTTTCTTTCAGCTCCTCCAACTTTTTCCTTTCATTTTTACGAAAACACAACAATTATCGTAAATTGGTATGTGATCCGTAAAATTTAATAATTTAATAATTAGAAATATATATTCTATATGCGGATTGCACCGAATGTCTCTCGTAAATGTTCATCGCCTTCCCCGTATCGCCTCGTATCTCCAGAACAACTCGAGGGATCCCCGTCATCCCTTACGGATTGTACCAGTCGAGGAACAGCAGGGAGAACGATATCACCAAAAGGAAGAAGAGAATCCACACCCTGAGGCCGGCGTTCCGCTGGATCGCCTGGCGTATCTGCTCGTTCGCCTCCTTCATATTCTCCGTCGACCCGACCACCGTCGTCATCAGCCTGTCGAGATCCCTGTCCTGGTCCAGCACCTTCTCCGTGAAGATCTCCTGAAGCTCGGCGATGTGCACGACCTTGCTCTCGATCTGCCTCACCTCCTCCGTCATCGTGTTCAGCTCGTTGTACAGCTGCTCGTTCTCGGACTCGAACATCTGAACGTCCTCGGCTGACAGCTCCTCCTCGTACGTCAGCGTGTTCACGTCGCCGTTGATCTCCTGAATCTTCATCGGGCTCGACTCGCTCGAGCCGCTCCTGGCGTCGTGATCGTCGGTCGTCGCGGGATCGGCGGCGACCGACGCGTTCAGCTGCGACTTCCTCGCCGTCGTTGTCGTCGTTGTCGCCGACAGTGGTGGCGGCGGCGGCTGGTCGGCCTGCAGCCGGGCGAGCCTCCGCATCTCCATCGCTCTCTTCACCCGCATCGCCTTCTGCTCCGAGTATATCTTGCAGACGTTCTTCAGGTAGTCCTCTATCAGCAGCAGCATGATCTCGCGGTGCTCGACGTTCTGCTGGCTGATCTCCGTCGCCGCGGCGACCTCGCGCCTCAGGTCCTTGACCAGCTGCGAGCAGGTGCCCATTATCCGCTGCGCCCCGGCGTCGATCTCGTCGCGCTCCGCGTCCGTCATGCGCGGCGCGGCCGACAGGTAGTTGGAGAAGTTCAGGTAGGCCCTGCGGTTCTCCAGCAGGAACTCGCGCAGCTTGGAGATCTGCACCACCACCGCGTGCGCCTTCGCGCAGAAGGTGCTCCTGCCCCTTCGCGGACGGCACTCCGTCGCCGGCGCGCCGAGGTCCTTGTTGCGCAAATTCACCGCCTTCACGCTCGCCCTGAACAACGCGCTCACGTCCATCCCTGCGACCCCCCGCTCTCCCTCCCGGCCCGGGTCTCTCCCAGGTCGAACCCGGAGGCGGGTCGTCTCGAGCGTTCCCGCCGAAGTCCTTCCGATTGGGAATAGCAACGGAATCCTGTAAATATGGAAATATATCCGTGGTATCGACGGTAAAAAGTAACATCTGTCGGGAGGTCTAAAGTGAAGCCAGACGAAAACTGAAGCCTTCGAAAACGGAAATTTCGTGACTCACCGTGCTCTCGCCTCCTCCCACAGTCAGCGCCTCATTTATTATGTTTATCAATGCGCCGATTACGTCGAACGCCGCGATATCGTTTGCAATTGCGTGGCACGGCGGTGCGTTTCCTCGCCGAGTAAATTGATGAAGCAGCAAACGGGTACAGCCGTCGGTTTTTCAAACACCTGTCACGCATCGAGCAGCTGAGAGCGAATTGAAGTGAGGTTATGTGTGCCATGATGTCAGGTGTGTACGAGTATGAATTATAAACGTGTACACAGTCCGCTTGTTCCTAGACTGCTTCTGTGTGACGAGCGTATAAACGCAACTTTGATCGAGATAAAAAAAAACATACTTCTTTTCTTCATAATTCAGAAGAAGAAACGATATTCTTGATATTACATTCGAAATTTCAAAAATATTATTTTCTAGCTTACAATTATTATATAAGGGGAAATTTACGCTTTTCTTGTGATAATCTTGATGCTGTACACAACAGATATTATGTCATAATTGTAATATAAATGCCATAATTATGAGATTACGATCAGTGAGATTAATAATATACCTTCGTTATTTTAATTTTATCATTTTTTTTTTTATTAGACTACCTTTAAAATTTGCTTAACATTAAAATACACGCGCGCGAATCATCGAGCACCATCGGCCGGTTGAAGATCAGCCAGGAAAGCGTTGTACTGATCCATGATGCTCGGCTCCTCCGTTGCATTGGTCTTGTCGTCGTATTGCGAGCCGACTGACCACAACGTCTCCAAGTCGTAAAGCTCTCTGGCGGAGCTAGAGAAGATGTGCAGAGCGATGTTTCCTGCAATACACGCACAATTTTGAACACAGCTTTATAAATACAATTGCAATTCGCCGAACAATCCTTTTAATTATTTTAATAACTCCAAAGTCTGTATAGTTATTAATGCATTCGCTGTCAGTTTATCTTAACTCCCTACATTAATAAGTTTGATAAGATGAAGATACAATAAGTTGGAGGGGCTTATAATATTTATGTAATTTTCTAATTATTTTTAATTTGGAAAGTACTTTTTTTTTTTTACCTAAATCCAGGGCCATCCAATCGTTCGAGTTCTTCCCCTCGATTTTGGGCATCGCCTCGTTCCGATGTTTCTTCATTTTGTAAACCTTGCGTATGAAGGTGGCAAGGGCGTTCATGTGCTTCCGCGAGCTTCCGGTCGTAACGACGATGTAGTCCACGTAAGCGTACTCCTTGGGAACCGAAGCGACGAAGATGTTCCTGGCCTTGTCCCTCTTCAACAACTCGACGAGCTGCTCGATGTCGAATACTCCAGTAACACCATCTAAATGTACATGATTTGAGCATTACTACAGTCATCACATTTTATTGTTAAATAATTTCATTCACTTTTATTAAATAAAAAAAAAGAAGTTATTGTATATATTAAAAAAATATATATACTTTATTAATATAAATTGTACATTTAAATATGCAATTTTTATAGTTATTTTTTCTTAATGTAGCCAATATAATAAAAATTTGTAAAAAAAGTCACCGTCCAGTTGCTAAATAATTTCATATCTTGATTGAATAATAAATTATAAAAATTAATTTCCAATGTTTCTATCTAATATACTTAATTAATATAAATAATTGTATAATTAAAAATATAATTTCTTATATATATTTTTTTCTTAAAAAATATAATATTAAATTTGTGACAAATATAAAAAATATAATAAATATAGACAAACGTACATTAAATTTGTGTTACATTTATTACGTTCCATTAAATACTTATTGCCTTTTAACGCGACAAATTTACATAAATCAATTTTTATCACGCATCAGTCATATCCTTCTAGGTAGTCGGTACTCCGATTTCTACTCACGTTCCAGATCTACGTCGGTGTAAGGATCGCGAGCTTCCTCCTGCTGCTTGCCCAGATCCTCGAGGAGAATCTTTTGCTGCTCCTCGCTCACGTCCAGGATAACGTCCGCGTCTTCGTCGTGAAACACTTTGTATTTTGTATTCATGGTGGTCGCGAGGTTATAACCTCGCGTGTCCTTGCTCGAGTCATCGTCGCCGTCGGACCCGCGGTCCTTCGCCACGTCGCTCGAGAACCCCCTCGTCAGCCTCAGCCGCGAGAACGTCGTTAACGATACACGACCGCCGAGAGTTTCGCGCGACAGTTGCCGCGCGCGGAGCAGGTTCCTCAGCATGCTCAACAACGCATGCTAATCTTGAAAAGCTAGGTTAGGTCGCGATACTGCTGATTGTGAGACGAAACCGGCGGAGGCTGCGTTATAATTATGTTACATAATTATAACTTATATTTAATTAAAATTCTAGACTTGAGAAAATTTAAATATTTAAAATTATAATAAAATTAATTTAATCGTAATTTATGCCTAATTACAATTACATACAAATTACAATGATATATTTGTGTATAATTATCTTCTTTTGAGTCTTCACTTCAGGGAATGTTTCCAGCTTTTATTTACATATTTTCATCATTACTCTCCAAATTTTTATATCGTAAGGTAACTGTCCCTATTAGTGTGCTTTTATATTTAAATAAGTCATAAAAATAAACTGGTACAAATAGACAAAGTATTTTAAGTTAATACTTTAGCTTAATAAAAAAAATCCTTTATTTGTACCAGTTTACTTTTATAACTTATTTAAATATACAAGCACACTAATAGGGAGTTACCTTATGTATTTTACATGCAAATATTCCTTTGATGTTACTCAATTGGCTTGCCAATAAATAAAACAAAAGCCTTCAATTTATTGAATTTTTTTAGAAAAAAAATGGTAAAAAATGATCAGAACTATAATTAAATATTAAAATTATTAAATACAAGTATTTTTCAATACTATTTATTAAGCAAGACTGGCATATGTAGAAGTTGCTGACTGGATTAAATGTAAAGGAAATATAGATTTGTCCGCGCTGAAATTTCTACGAATTTACAATGGCACGTGATTTGTTCCAAGATCAGATTATCAGGAGGAGAAACGCATCGGGTGACGAAACAAAAGCCTGGTATCTTGAGTAGTCGATGTATTTAACCAAACAAGATTTCCATGTACAAAATTCTCTCGAGTGCGAAAAATGTGTCCATTGAAGATCCGTCTCGCCGAGACTTTCAATCAGCTAGGAGCGTTCGTCGAACGGTGAAACGTCTCGCAGGTCCATTCTCCCCACGGCTGAAACAGCGAGTAAGAACGGGATAAGAACGTGAATGAAATAGGTGTGGATGTAACGGAAAAATGGAGTTAACACCGTTATACCTACAGAGATTGTGGGTGGAACGCTCTCAACGGGGAAGCCGCTTTATTTGGACCTCGCGCGCATCTTCCTCCTCTTGCGCTTTAGCCTGCGCATCCTCTTCTTACGCCACTGCAAATTAAACGCGTGGTTAGCTTTTGTCTTTCCTTTTGTAGTTCAACGTCGGGCCCCGCCGTTTAAACGAGGATCGATAATACACGCGCGTCGGTCTCCACAAGATGGTAGTTGAGGTTATGTTTCAATACGAGCGGAGAACGGAAATTAAGTGTGTATAATCGTAAATAATCGTTGCTAAAAAAAAAGAAAATAACGAGCTCGAGCTGATTATAATCAAACACGCCTTTACGAGGTGGAAACTTCTCTCGCGGTGTCGACGTCAATAAAACCGTATACACGCCATGCACGAGAGCGAATGCCTCGACAATTCGGGATAATTTCACGCGACAAAATAATTACGTATCGCTCGAGGAGCGTGACAATTATCAACGATAATCGATAACGGCTCACCTTAGCTCTCATCTCGCCGCTCACGCGATTCTAGATCGTCTCGGAAACGCTGGATCACTTCGGATTTCGAATCGACCACAATGAAAAGCTCCTCGACGTAAAATGAAAGATGGACCGAACTGACCGAAGGGACGGAATTCACGGACTCGCGCATGCGCAATGGCCGCTCTGAGGGTGCCGTTCCATGGCAGAGATGTTTCACGTAACGCGTATTGCGAGGTTCGAATCTTCGCTAAGTGGGGTTTGAGTCTCCGCTAAGTGAAGTTCGAAATGTTCGAATGCACGCGCGCTATGCTATAAATGCAGCGGGAGAATAAATTGAATAAATCTCCGTTAAAATGTGGTTCGAGTCTCTGCTAAGTTAGGTTTAACTCTCCGCTAAGTGGGGTTTGAGTCTCCGCTAAATTCATATTTTATTCAGAGGAGTATATAGGTCAAATTCCACTTAGCGGAGATTCGAACCCCACTTAGCGGAGACTCAAATCTTACTTAGCGAAGATTCGAACCTCGCATACGTGAAAAATCTTTGCCATGGGACGGCAAATTTGGACGGCTTCATTGGATATCGACACGTCGAAGATCAGTCGCGTTGCTTGCACTTTTTACACTCAGCACTCGCTTTCTCTCTCACCAGCCACTTGTATGTATATATTTATCTCGTTTTAAGTGCAATAATTGAAGGATTTTTAAGCAACACGAACAAATATAGAGAAAGTCTAGTTATTTTTTCTAGTTATTTTCTCTCGCGCTCTCCTCCCCCCAACCACGCGTTCCGCCGTTACGGAACGCGCGCCCGTTCCGGACCGGTCGGGCGCGCGCCGCTGCCTTCCCGCCCGTTTAAAGCCCGTCCCGCCAAAAGTGCAGTCGCAGCTGAGACGCGCGGGATGTGCTCGTCGCGCGGTAAATGACGTGTCTTGTCACGAATTCGGCGGACGGTCGCTCGCCAACGAATTAATCGCTGACGTGGACGAGTCCTCCGACGATTCGCCGACGAATATCTCAGGGACTGTCGATAAAATTCACGCCGACAGCGGCTCGTCGCAATCAAGTCGCAGCTGTCGTTCTCGCGGTCCCGCCTGGACGTCGTCGCGGTGGACGAAGAATCCTAAGGGTGAGTATAAATTTCGTCTCCGCATCATCCCGTTTGCAAACTCAGTACGGGGGGCAGGAAACTGATTAAGGAGATTTAAAACAATACTTGTCCTTATTGAAAAATTGTATAAATCTAATGTTAACAAAAGAGTCTAGATCTGAATTGTGCCATGTAATTTTTTTTAGAATTGAAAGCACCCTCCAAAAAGGAAGAAATAAGAATTTGTCGACCTCGCGTGGCATTAGTTTCCGCACACGGCGAGATAGTTCTGACTGGTTCTCGTGGGCGAGAACGATGTCGGGTGTACAGACCACCATTTCCTTCCCCGTACGGAAGAAGTGTAATTTTTACGGCCACAAGGAGGAAGTGAAGGAGGATTTCACGAACGCGACGGCGAAGGACACGCCGTCGAGGTACGTTCCAACTGTCAAGAAGATCGTCACTTTGACCAGCAGCGAGTCTGAGTCAGATTCCGATATTGAGAATACAAAGGAGAGGTGCAGGATAACGAGGGAAAGGAGGACCGAAAATGCAGGCCACACGCCAAGGCGACGAAAATGCGACGAGTCGGTTGGTAAGTTTATGTATAGGAGGCACTTTGGCTCTTGCTTTATATAAAAGCAATAGTAAGAGAGTATAGTTTTAAAGATTGTTTTACATATTGTACCTTTCTCGCGCCTTGTGATAATTAAATATGCAACGTACTTCTGCTTTGTACATTGTAATTATAATTCTATAATGCAATCCTATTTCATATATTATAAATATAATTATACAATGTAATTTTGCTTTATATATTGCATTTATAATTACACAATTCTTCATACATTGTAACTATAATTATACAATGTAATCCTGCTTCATATTGTAATTATAATTATAGAATGTAATTTTGTTTTAAAGTTTAGTACGGTTGTACTACAGTTATAATTATATTTTGCTTTATGCATTGTAACTGTAATCATACAATGTATTTCTGCTTTATACATTATAATTATGCTGTCGATATTTATACTTTAAATAAGTTTTTGTTGAGATATAAATTACTTTTTTTTCCCCAGAAGAGCATGCCAGTCCACCCAAGCAGAGAAGAGAGAAGCTGCAGTCCTCCTTAACGCCGTCCACGCTTCTCAATAGACTAGCTCTGTCCCCCGAAAAAGAAGGCGGCAGATTAGTTCCCAAGCAATTATTTGACTCCAGTCTCTCCGAAGAGGAGGGCGAATTAACTTCCAAGCCGGCGCTCGGACCCAACAAATATCGGAGCGCGCGTAAATCGTTGCACAGCTCTATAACGGACGACTTGCCCGGGAGGGAGAAGGAGTTGGCTAGGCTGCAGAAATTTCTCCTCGGACATCTGGACCAGGAAACGTCGGGCTCCCTGTACATCTCCGGTCCTCCGGGCACCGGCAAAACCGCGTGTCTGTTCAAGATCACGCAACGGTCGGACGTAAAGTCGAAATTCAAGGTGGTCTACATCAATTGCACGAGCATGAAGTCCGCGGCTGCCATCTACACGAAGATAAGTCAGGAGCTGGCCATAACCAGCGCGACAAAGTCTGGGAAGAACAGCAAAGCCGCTATAGAGAAGTATCTGACGTCCAAGCACAAGACGCTACTCCTGGTGCTGGACGAGATAGATCAGTTGGAGAGCAGAAAGCAGTCCGTGCTGTACTCCATATTCGAGTGGCCGTCCATACCGAACTCCAAGCTGATCCTCATCGGGATCGCCAACGCCCTGGATCTGACCGACCGGATACTGCCTAGACTACAGGCCAGATGCGAGCTGAAACCGACGTTGATGCACTTCGCCCCGTACTCCAAGCAGCAGATATGCGACATAATATCCGCGAGACTGAACGAGGCGAACGCGACCAACGTTTTCACTCCACCCGCGGTGCAGTTCCTCGCGGGTAAGGTGGCTGCGATCTCCGGGGACATCAGGAGGGCCTTGGACATCAGCAGGAGAGTGATAGAATTGGCCGAGTCGCATCAAGTCGCGCAGGTGCTGCGTCCGTCAAACGATAATGGTAATTAATTTTTGCACGACACGATTTCAGCTATATACATTACTAAAAAATATTATTATTATATATATATATACATAAATAAAAATAAATATAATATAAATAATTAAAAAATAAACAATTTTAGATTTTTTTTCTTTTAATTTAGATATTAGAACGATATATCAATAAAAAAATTTTAATATAAATTAATGAAAATGATAAAAGCGGATAATTGATAATTAATATAAATAATTAAAGAATAATGTGCAGTGTAATTTTCTACTTTTAATTTAGATACAAATACAGAATCGTCAAAGAAGGAAACGGAGGCAGTGGAGAAGCTGGTTGATTTGAAGGAAGTGGTGACTGTTATAAATAAAGTCTATGGAGGTACACAAAATCTCAATAAAGAACAGGATACGTTTCCTCTTCAACAAAAATTGCTAATTTGCTCTCTATTGCTTATCCTGAATAAAGGGAGGAACAAAGACATCACTGTCGGCAGAGTAAGCTTGTCAAAATTACATTATAATTATAAATATTTAAATGTAAAATTATATCTGGTTCAGTTGATTGAATTTAATTGATTAAATCCCAGTTAAATTTAGTTGTACATAATAAATATGTGTTTTGTATATTGCGATTTTCTTTTTTAAATAACTTTTATTTGTTACAGTTGTACGAGGTGTACAGAAAGGTTTGCAAGAAGCGCAACATATCCGCCGTTGACAATTCCGAATTCGTGAACATGTGCTCGCTGGTAGAAACGAGGGGTATCCTGCGAGTCGTCGGCAAGAAGGAGGCGCGTTTGTGCAAGGTGAATCTGCAGTGGGATCAGGAGGAGTTGGACGCGGCTTTGCAGGACAAGCAGATGATGGCCAATATAATCAACGACACAAGTTGTTTGTAGAATAATTAGGGAAATTTAACGTTACACCGTTGTTTGTTACACCTAATTTATTTTATAGCTCTCTTTTTATTTTGTATATATATACTGTAAGGTATCTTGATTGTTACCAATCGACTGTTGCAGCGTCATCAATTAATTTTTCTACACTCATTTCACTCTTTTCAGAGATAGATTTTAACGCGAATGTTAAATTTGGACTGCCATTGCATCGCATGAGACTGATTGTACTTCGCATTTTTTTAAATACCTGATCGAATCTTAAAATTTATGCGAAATGTACTCGGGATGTTTGATATCATTGTAGCATGAGATATATATATTTTTGATAATTCCAAATAAAACATTTAAGTACAAGCACATTTATGTGTGTATTAAATCAAAGTCTAGTTCTTTCGCCTTGCGCTTTTCCATGCTTTTTGTATTTGACACAATGGTATATGAACACTGAAATGATTTTAATGTAATGACAGAGTAAACACAGTATGATGCAGTGACGCGAAAAGTCAAAGGCGTGAAGAGCCGTTCAGACCATCGTTTTAATTATGGACCTTTACACATTGATTACATCGCTGACCAAAATTTCCTGACATCACATGTTAAAATTGTATGTTTTTAAAACAATTTTTGACGTTGTTGTGAAGTCTTATAGAATTGACGCTTTTCATTTATAAAATATTATTTTAGTAGCCCTGACGATGACTCAATTAGAAGTCAAAACGTACGTTTGAAATTATGCATATTTATTTGTATATCTAATTCGATTTTATTAACAATTTTGCAATACTTGTATGCAAGACTGTTATGTTCCTTTTTGTTCGCTTTTAAAGAAAAATATAATCCTGTGAAATGATAGTCCTATACTTTTTAGACGATTTTTCTTTTTAAATGTAACTCTTTATAATAAGGTTTAGAAAGGAAATGCTAAAATTCTTAAAATAATTCTAACAGTACAAATAAAAAAAAGGGATAAGTAATAAAAGTTGTATTATTTTCTAAGAAAAAAATATTCATCCAAGAGGAACGGGCTCATAGTGTCCTACATACATTCATGCGAAATTAAATTTGTGGTTATGTTATGTCAGAATTAGGTTAGGTTAGGAGCTCCTCTGCTGTCTGCATGCACTGTTTACAGTGCGCGGAACAGGCCGTCAAAAAATGACATTATCAGGAATTTAAATATAAGATAAGGAACTCGTACTTAGGAATTTCGTATGAATTTTTCGAAGTGTTTCAACGATGCTGTATCTCAAAGCACTTCTTCCCAGGACACTTTTCAACATCGGTTTAGGCTTAGCGTTCTTATTATTCTTCTGCGAATATCTCATGTATTACGTGGTGCTTATACAGGTGAGTCCTCGCGCGATGCTTCTGTGTCATGCAAAAACTTGCACCGCTCAAGAATATAAAATCTCTGTCTTAACGAAAACTCAGAAGTCACGGTTTGACTTTTAGTGCGAATGGCCTACTCTGGACCCTCGGAAGGAGGACCCGGCTTTACGTGGGGAAGCAACGGACAGGCCTGTCAGAGCGATGTTTATAGCGGACACACATTTATTGGGCTCCAGGGAAGGCCACTGGTTCGATAAACTCCGAAGGTTTGTATCCCAAATGTCAATTTCTATCAATTCAAAATGTTTGACTTACTTTCTGTCTTCGTCTAGTTCTAAGAATTAGAAAAAAGTAAAGAGTAAATAAAATATAAATAATTAAAATAAAAGTTAAAATTTACATTATTAGAAACGGATTTAAGTTCTGTAATGTCATCTACATTACATCTTTACATCTATCTGAATATCGAAGATGTTTTAACCCACCACATTGGGTCAAAACAGGTCAAAATGACCCGAGCATCATCTTTTTTTTTTTACGCTAGATTTCAGAACTTTCCTGGCTTAGGAAGGGCGCACCATAATTATACTTTTTTTTTCTTAAAAGTACATCATCTTAAGAGTATTAGGCCAAAATTTTATTTAAAAATATTAAAAATTGAAAAAGTTATGATTTTTTTAAGTAAAAAAAACTCATTTTTTCGAAGTTAACACGTTTACGATTTTTTTTTTAAATGTTAAGATTAAATTTTTCACTAAAACGCTATTCTATTTTCTTAAAGGTTGAAATTATATACTGTAATCTTTTAAAGTTAATGAAATTAATACTGTTGATTTGACAACACTTTAAAAACGGGGCTCGGGTCATTTTGTCCATTGTGTAACTATTATATGAAGTGTGATCATGAAGGGTTAAACAATGTAATTTTGGATATCTACTGAAAAAGAGTACTGTTGTTTCAGGGAATGGCAGATGTACAGAGCGTTCCAAACAATGATGACGTTACATCGACCGGACGTAGTTTTCGTATTAGGTAATAAATTCATTGTATCATTGTTCATTTTCTAATATTTGCTGTTTTCTCTCGTGATATTCAGGTGACGTTTTCGACGAGGGGCAATGGTGCGGCTCCGTGGAGTTCGAGTACTACATCAAGAGATTCAATTCCCTGTTCTACATGCCTAAAGACTCGCATATCTACGTCGTCGCCGGGAATCACGACATGGGATTTCATTACGGTAAAAGCTATATCTTCTAAGAATCCACGACAGCAACGAAGTTGCCGGTAGAAAATCGAATACGCAAACGTATATCTTAACAACATACTTACGGCTGGCTTTAACACTTCAAATATACTTTCAGCGATCACGCCGTATCGCAATCAGCGCTTCATCAACGGCTTGAAGAGCCCGAGCGTGCGACGGCTGAGCCTGCGAGACAATCACTTCGTGCTGATCAACAGCATGGCGTTGGAAGGGGACGGCTGTTTCCTGTGTCGGCCGACCGAGATCGCGGTGAATAAAATAGCTAGTGAGCTATCACCTCTGTACCAGCTCTTGAACCAGCATGCAATCGTCACGACTGATTAATCCCTAAACTGTCTGTACGTATTGCAGAGGATCTGAAGTGCGCGAGAAGAATCGGCAACGATTGTCGCAACGCCAGCGCGATTTCCAGATACAGCAGGCCTATATTGCTGCAAGTCGGTCTTTCTCTCTCTCTCTTTCTTTCTCCACCATAATTCGTAAATAAGATATTTTCGCAAATGAACGTAGGAACTAGAAATTCTGAGGAGTCGTAAAGACGTAACTTTTAAACCGGGGAAAAAATTCCGTTCGAGAGATTAACAGAAGTGTCGTTCCTTCTCTCCAGCATTATCCGATGTATCGAGAATCGGATGAGATCTGCAACGAATTGGATCAGGTTCCGAACGAGTTGAGGGCCATCAAGTTCCGGGAGCGGTGGGAGTGCCTGTCGAAGGAAGCGTCGGAGCAGGTACGTTTGACGACTTCTGACGACACCAGCCATGTGTTCTGGATTATATAAGAATCGGCGTGATTTTACATAAAAAATGTATTAAAAAAATATATATATTACGAATCTCAGCGGAACTCTGGGCGTTAACGTGAACGTGACTCGATTTGTTCCGCAGCTCCTGGATATCTTGAATCCGCGACTGATCGTCGCCGGTCACACTCATCACGGCTGCAGGAAGATACACCGGGATGACATTCTGGAATTCACGGTCCCGTCTTTCAGCTGGCGCAACAAGGTCAACCCGTCCCTATTGATGGTAGAACTTTTTCAGATTTTCAGTCGTTAACCCATTAACGGCTAACGTCTCATTCTCGAAAATATTATAATTTTTTGGCTATGGAACGAGGAAACGAAAGAAAATTGGAATAGGAGGAATAGAATAATATCTAAGTAATTTAAGGAGTATTATTTATTATTTGCCAAAAATAATGTTGATGATAAATAATATTCCCAAAAACTTTATTCTGACTTCCGACGCGTGAACAGGAATTCTTAATGACTTTAATGATTCCGGTATTATTAGAACTGGGATCTTCAGAAGATAAGAGCAATAATATGCTTAACTGGAATTCTTTATATTATCGTTACGACTTTCTCGTAATGGGTTAATTATCTCTCCCTCTTTTTTTCCCCCGCCTCCTTACCTTCCGCGCGTTGCGGGGAAACTCGGGGATTTATTCGTGAATTGTTTCTATTTCAGGGTACTTTCACTCCCAGCAATTATTCCGTCTCCAAGTGCTACATGCCCGTGGAATCTACTGTGATCGCTATTTATAAATGTAGTCTCCCATGCGTACTGATATATTTGATTATAAAACTCAGGCCGAGGCGGCACGTGTACTCGCGCTTGAAGATGCCTTGACTAACTCTATCGTGACGCGTTCGCGCGCGAACGGGCGCATAATATAATTCTATATACAATGCAACTCATGGAGGCTATAATCGTCGAAATTAGGACATATCTGTATGGACACTCTTTTTCGTACACGCTAGCCGTCACGTATTATTTACAACAGTTAATAGTATAAAATACTTTGTGATATATATATCGTAAATTGTAACGTATGTCAATCCTCGATGTACATAGAGTATTGCGTAGGACTCGAGACACATTTACTAAAGGATTATATAAGTATCGGCGTGATTTTGCATAAACGTGTTATTTGAAAAAAAAAAAATGAAAAAAAAAATTACGAATCTCAGCGGAACTCTGGGCGACATTGGGAGGTTTGCGATAACGACATCCAAAAGTTGTAGAGTGAAAATATGCACACTCGCACTGAACGTAAAAGTAAAATATTACAAACTATGTATTATTACTCATATACATTTGCATACTGCGCTTATTGTTATAATAATTATAATAATGATCGGCCGAGACAGTTTGCGAAACTGCATGTTGTAATTCTTACATTAAAGGAAACGATAAACACTTTAGACTGGCTCCATTTTTTATCGGCTATATAATACTTTCGCACACATTGACTGTTTACTAATATCACATCACTTGAATATTTTTTTTACAGCGTTCCTCGCTCCTTCGACAAGGAATATTTATTGATATAGCCAACTGTCCGTGGGTTAGATTATTTTCTCGTATGTGTTTATTTGTGTGTAAATCATAAGTACTTATGGGAGAGACCTCGCAACTAAGAATCGTATAAATAAAATAGATTTATTATATAAATTCGAGCTCCACATTCGCGTATTCTTCGTGTGCACATTCGCAAGTAAAAGAAGCTTATTTGTTCCAAAAAATATAGCAAAATGAACAAAAAAAAATTGCAATGTTTTCTCTTAAACTTAAAGCTGGTAGAGAAATTTCTTCCTCTCGTCGTTGCAATATTTATTTTTAAAGAAAAAAAAGAGGAAAAATGCTTTCTTGAAAATACATCGATATATCTTTTTTTCCCCTTTCTGTAAGTAAAAGAAGCTTATTCGTTCCAAAAAAGATAGCAAAATGAACCGAAAACCGCAACGTTTCCTTTTAAACTTAAAGCTGGTAGAGAAGTTCTTCCTCTGTTCACTGCGATATTAATATTGTTAAAGTGAAATGAATGGAAAAAAGAGGAAAAATGTTTTCTCGAAAATGCATCGATATCTCTTTTTTTTTCTCCCTCTCTGTTGAGAAATCTTATCTCGATTATTCGCTATGGCTTTTGCAAATCCTAAGCCATGCGACGAACGTGGAGCTTACATTGTACTCATGACGGACGCAAGAGAATACACGTAGAAATCTCAATCAGTACATCAAATATTCGTACATGTCAGTCGACAAAATCCTGTGCAACGTTCGCAGTTTCGAAATTTTGTGGAAGATGAGATGCATCCGTTTCGTCTTATCGTTCCTACAATAACGAAAACGTTAGCTCTCTGTCTCTCTTTCTCACTCTGTCACTCTCTCCCTCTCTTTCTCGCACGCTCTCTCCCTTTTTCTCCCCCTTTCACGCCACGGTTAAATTAAAAGTCTAAATTTATTTCGCTCGCATTTACTCGACTAATGATAATTTTGACTAGTCTATCTTGACGGCCGCGTATATCTTCCTGATGAACGAGTACGCGGCGAAGAAACCGATCGTGCCGGTCAGCAGCCAGAATGTGAGGACCATGAGCGCGGTGTAGCCGAAATACATGAGGGTCGGCACCAGCTCGGTGATCTTCAGCTTGGTGACGAAGTAAAAGACGGAATACGCCAGCACGTAGACGGCCGAACCGCCGCTCACGATGAAACTGCGCCACCACCACCTGTAGTCCTGGAGATCGAAGCATCGAAGAATGAGAACAAGAATATATTACAAGAGCACGGAGATTTTATAAATCATGAAAATATAGGAAAAACATGTATAAGTCTGTTATAAACTGTAGTAATAGAACATAAAAAAAACTGAGTTCAAAATCCAAGTTAAAAATTCTTTTTAACAGAAAAAAAAAAGAATAAATACCGTATAGAATATTAAAGACTTGTTTTGGTTAATTGATTTTCTCGTACTTACTTCGCCACATAATTGGAAGTAAACCATGACTATTGATATCTGCGAGCAGGAGATTACAAGGATACAGAAAACGAGGAATAGAAATCCGAAAAGATAGTAAAATTGATTTTCCCAGAGCGCAGTCAGGATGAAGAAGAGTTCTATGAATACCGCGCCAAACGGTAAGATTCCAGCCATTAGAGTGCTGCAAGCAATATTTTCTCTATTAATATTTGATAGAAATAGTTTAATAGTATATTTAATAGCAATTTTGTGTGTGTGTGTGTGTGTGTACAATTGCTGCTTTTTAAATAATGAAAAAGGCGATTAAATCTTTCCAAACTTACCATAAGATTGGATTCATATACCATAATTGGTCAGGAACTTGTCTGGGGATTTGATTCGTTCTAACTGGATGCGTGAAGGGCTGCTTGCGATAGCCGAAGAAATAGCCGAGATAGACGAGAGGTAGCGAGATGCCGAACCAGAGGCACAGCAGGGCCACCATCGTGGTGAAGGGAACCGCACCGGAGCTGTGCTTCCCCCATATGAAGAAATTTAGGAAGAAGCACGTCGTGAAAACTATACCCGGATAGAACGTCGCTGTCTGTAACAGATATCTTTACGTTAGAAACAAGTATATACGTCTCGCTAAAAATATATTATATATTGTAAAGTTAATTTTGCAAAAAAAAATTATATATACAAATATATAAAAAAGTATAGATTATATATTCAGAAATAATTCATATTTTATTATACGTATAAACCATGTTTTTACCAGCAAAGCAGCTCTTCTCCACTCCCGACCCCGCATGGTTTTATACAATCGGGCCGAGAAGTAACCGGCGATTAAGCCGGAGAAGACGTACAAAAATATCGCGCAGGTACCGAGGGCACCTCGACTCGCCGGCGACAACATTCCCAGCATCGCGAAGACTGCGGAAATACAGACAGGTGTGAACAAACATGTAGTTTCGCTTGTAACGCTATGTTGCATCGATACGATTCAATATGTGCCTACATATCGTGATCAGAGCCATGAAGAATATCTGAATGCCGCTGCCGATCACGGCGGCGAATAAGCGCGAGTTGTTCGGCGGCCGGAACACGTCCCCGTGAACTAGCTTCCAGCCGGTCTCCTCGATGGTCTCGTCCAGACCGGCCAAACTGTCGCTCTCGCCCGCGTTGTAACGGGCTATGTCCCTTCTGAGCGTTCTCACCATGATCATCGTAAGAATTCCTGCAATTTTATAAATACATAATCCAGAAATTAAAAATTGTAATTTTTTTTAAATTAATTAAATTCTGAAAGATACAGAAACTCATTTTTTCAGTTATATTTCATTAATATATCTACATATTCTATATTTATTTAACTTATATATTTATTTTATTATAGATTTTGTCTCCTTAAAAATCAGGAAAACAAAATATTCATGTCAACTTTATCACATTTTCTCGATTGTCACTATAAAATCTAATGTCATCATATACCTGAAAATTCGCGTCTTAAAATAAGAATTTCTGTAACGAATACATAATCCAGAAATTAACAATTTAATTTTTTTTAATTAATTAAATTTTGAAAGGTATAGAAACTCCTTTTTTCAGTTATATATTTCATTAATATATCTATATATTCTATATTTATTTAACTTATATATTTATTTTATTATACATATTTTGTCTCAAAAATCCAGGAAATAAAATATTCATCATGTTAACTTTATCACAATTTCTCGATTGTCACTACAAAATCTAATGTCATCATATACCTGCAAATTCGCGTCTCAAAATAATATGCAAAAGTTCGCAAAAAAAAACTAACTTTTTAAATGATATTTCATTTTGAGATATTCGGTAGAGAGTTTTTCAAACGCTTGATATAATTTTTGCCTAATGTAATCGTCGCATTCTTACCAGATAAGAAGAAGACGACGATGAGAGAATTGATGATCGAGAACCAGTGGATTTCGACGTCGCTCATGCCGAGGTACACGTCCCATCTGCTCGCCCAGCTGACGTCCGACTGCTTCCACTCCACCGAGTATAGGAAGAGGAGGCTCGTGCCCTTCGGATTGACAAACTGCGGGCTCGCCTCGCTCGGTAGAATGCAAGTGTTCCCGTCGAACTTCAATTGAGACGTGTCGATGGATCGAGCTTCCACCTCGAATCCGACTACTCTGAATTCGTTTCTGGAAACAAGGGTGAGAAATTATATATTTTCATCGCGGGGCCATCCCCCGCCGTCTCCGTGAACTTCTCTCGCGGAATATACGGATACTAACTCGCCGTGTTTGTGGAAGCTTAATTTTAGCTTAAGATAATTATTGATGTACACTTGATCGTTCATAATTCCGCCTAGACGATAACCTTGATAAACCACCACGTTATTCGTTTCTTTGTGTTTCTTCCTAGTAGCCGCCGGCAGATTATCTATCAACCTAGAAGAAAAAAGAAGATCCAAGATACAGACCGCGCAAAAGCGCATCTTCTTAGCTGTGTTTCGATATACACTGCTAGTACAGAAAATCTACAGTTCACGTTACGGGGTGCGTTCCATTTAATGCTCGCGACGCTCGCGAGCGTTACTTGTCCTTGTTTGACATTTGATTTGAAACAAGGATGAAATAATTCCAAGAGCGTTGCGAGCGTTAAATGGAACACACTCATGTATGTTATAGATTTTTTGGTACTAACAAACTGCATCAAGAGACACGACCTTGTAACATTATAATAACAATAAGATACTCACAGATGCACAAAGTAATCATGCTGAACCATCTGGATAACGTGCTGGGAATTCGCTTCGTCCCAAGTCATCAACTTGGACGGCCTGTGGCACAGTAGCCTGCAGGAGATGTCCTCTGCCATGACAACTTCATATGGAGTATTCACTATCCTGGGAGAGACAAAGATAATTATCAAAATTTGCGACAACCCGACAAATTAGGAAATGCTGCCTTGAAAGTATAAAAAAATTAAATTGGCACTAAAAATTTCAAGAACTTTTAGAACTTTTAAAAACACAAATTTTAGAAATGTGCGGGCAATAAAAGTAGAACTGAAAAAATTTTCCACAAACCAAACGTACTGCTCTCTTTTGAAAAAACCTTACCTGTCACCGCGCAACACCTCTCCCAAGTTCTCCGACTTGTAAATGAAGGTGCCGTTCTTGGGCAAGCAGAACGGAAGGGAATAATATTCGTACGGTAGTTGTGTATGAGTGCTGGTCATCTTGACCGCCTTAACGTCGATCTTCTGCCCCTTCCTGAACTCCACCGGAGCAACTCCGGGCACGTAGAAGCCATTCGTCTCGATCAGGAGGCATATCACCACTAGCACGGCACCATTTTTCTGTAATCTTCCCTGCATCGAAAGATTTGGCAAATTAGCGCAAGATTACAGGTGAGCGACGCTGTGAGGTAATTAAATTCAATTGGAGCAGTTTGGGAAAATTAGAAAAATTGCTTCTTGAGCCGAGAGCACCGTGTCGCTTTATCAATGACAATTTGCGAGAAAGTATTGAATAAACGCTTATGCAACCAGCATAAGTAACAACGATAGTCCCTTGCGGGCGGGTAAAAGTATCGACAATGGGTCGTTTCAAGAATTACGACGGACCCGCGAATGAAGAGCCACGACACGCGATCGCGCTATACTGTAAACACCTACTATCGGTCTCAGTGAATCATCAGATCGTCGGATTTATCGGGCGGCCGCGAGTCGCGAGCTGTCAGTTGCCGCTCTCGCGAGAGAGAAAGCGAGAGCGCGATCCGCCGCCGCTCGCCGTCGAGGAAACGCGACGAGAGAATAGGCGACGGAGAGGCCGCCCTCCGGCGAGAGGGCCCGTGTGTGTGTCATGCCCGGCCACGTCAAGCGACCTCCGCACGGTCGTCCCGTCCTCCCGCCGCCGTGGCAGGGGCTCGGCGACGCGGGCTCTCGGGGGAACGGTGGCAACCTTACCATTCTACGCGATTCACCGTGTGACTCCTCGACAAGGGCCGCGCGCGCCACGCTGTCTCTTCGCTCGCACAGTCGCTCGTCGTCTCGCCCTGCCTCTCGCCGTCGGTCTCACCGCGACCACCACCACACCACCACCACCACCACCTCTCGCGAGCAGTGCTCGGCCCACCGACAGGCGACAGCAGCAGCCCCACGTTCAGCGTGAAGTTGGCGCCGCGTGCGCGCCCGCGCGCTGAAGCTGGCCGCGGGACGGGCCAGCCGCGCGCGGCGCTGCCAACGTGACGCGGGGGAGGGGGGAAAAGTCTCTAGCGCGTCGTCCTTCCGCCGCGCCATCTCGACGCGGAAGCGGCGGCGGCGGCGGCGGCGAAAGGAAGGACGACGCGAGAGAGAGAGACAGAAGTGTGGAAAGGGGCGGAAAAGGCACCTGGGTGACCGGAGGAGATCGCGGCCGAATCCGACGACGGGGAGGCCGCGGGTAATCGTCGAGCCCCCGCGAACCCTCGTCCGATTTGTCGCGTATCGCGGAGAATTCTGTCGCGCCGCGGACGCCGGCGATCGCGTTTCGAAGATGGCGCCGCTCCCACCTGTCGCCGCGCGGGCGGAAGTGCCGTCTCGTTGAGACGCGGAACGCGATCCTCACCCGCGGCGAGACGTCCCTCCGGCCGTGCGGCGAGCGCGGAGAAATCGCGCGGTGCCGAACGAGCGGTGCGACCGGGCGATCCGCGCCCGCTCGCCGATCCTAGTGACACGCGCGCACGGTCGCTCGGCTGACCCCGACTTTTCCCCGAGCGAAAAAATACACCCCCCCGAAAAGGAAAATATCGTCCCACGTGGGGACTCGTTTAATTACAAGTTACGTTGTTTGGATATGCGTCTGTCCGGCTGATTTTCCGCGCGGAAGCATGGTGCAGGTGAGTGGCGTGCCGTCCGCGCGTTATCGCCGCGCGATCCGGCCCGGCCGCCGGGTAATCCGCCGCGTTCGCTCCGCGGGGCCGTGTCGCCGTCGGGAATTTTTGATTGTTTTTTTTTTTTTTCACCTCCTCCGCTGTCATCCATTAGTAAATAGGAAAGATGGCAGCAGATTATTGCGCTTTTTTCCCCGTGCCTTCGGTCCCGGGCGGACATTTTTCCCGGGTCACCGCAGCGGCCCGGGGCGAGTTTCACGCCGTAATTACCGTCGAAATCGCCCGCCGAGCGCGTTTCCACGCACGGGATTCGCCGCGCCGACCGTTTTTTTGAATGGGACAGCACATCGTAGTGAGCCGGGAAAAAGCGTAACGCGTAAAGCCTCGCCGCCGCGCTCGTCGCTTGCACACACATACACACGCACGCACGGGGGACCGCGCCGCGTACGGCCGCGGGTTCTCTCGGTCGCCCTTCGCGCAGCGCGGGGCGTTTCGGCCGCGGTGAACCGTCGCCCCGGCGGAGGGGTTCGCCTAACGCTTAACCTAAATGCGCGCGGGAAACGGGCTCGGGCCGTAAATAAACGCGGACGCGACGCGCTCCGATTTTCCGCGATCGGGGCGAGTGTGTTGTTTCGCGAGTATATTCGCGTCGGCAGTCACGGACGATGATCGTAAGACTCGGGCGTTTTTGTTGTTATTTATTTATTTTTAAATTGCCTCCCGCAAAATTTGTGTTTACCCCCGATTTTCCGCAGGCTATCGACGAGATGGAGCAGCGGGACCTCCCGCAGGCGTTCCGCCTGCTGGGGGAGATGAACGCCAACGTGCTCCAGGTGAACCAGCTCGTGGACAACATGCTGGTGCGCGTGAAGAACGGCGAGATCTCGACCTCCAAGGGCCTCAGCTTCCTGGAGATGAAGTACCACATGCTGCTCTCGTATCTCATCAACCTGACCTACGTCGTCCTGAGAAAGTGCTCGGGCGAGCGTATCGAGGGCGACCCGTCGATCGACCGTCTGATCGAGATCAGAACTGTCCTAGAGAAAATCCGACCAATAGACCACAAGCTTAAGTACCAAATAGATAAGCTCGTCAAGACGGCGGTGACCGGCACGATCAACAGCGACGATCCCAGCAACTTCAGGGCGAATCCCGACGCGCTGGTCGCCAAGCTCGACAGCGATCAGGAGGAGGACAGCGATCTGGAGGAGGACGCGGACGGCGTCAAGTCGACAACGCAGCAGTCCAGGAAGTCGAACGTTTACGTACCGCCGAAACTCGCTGCGGTGCATTACGGTCAGTCTCTAGACTCGTATAAAAATTTTCGCCTTTATGTATCATAATAGAAATGACTATTGCATATTTCATCAACAATTTTTATCAGAATATTGTATATAATTCATAATTTAAGTGTCCGATTTTAATCATTTTCATGTAATGAGAATAATTTAATTAGTAAATTTAACTCTTTAATTAATACAACAATAAATGAACAAGTAAATTCAGCCAATTACTTGTTTATTTATTGTATTGAAGAATCTGTTACATTTTTAATTGTTTGATAAATTTGAGTATCTAACTTTGTGGAACGCTTAATTTCGTTGTCTCGTTAATCACTGTGATCTCTCTCCAGATGGTGACGAAACAATGGCGGAGAAGATCCGCAAGGCCGGCGAGAGGGCACGCAGACGCGCCGTGTCGAATACGGTGCTGCGGGAGCTGAAGGAGGAGTATCTGGACGCGCCGGTGGAGGACAGCCAGGGCCTGGGCGAGAAGCGGGCGATTCTGGTGCGCGAGGACAAGCGGAAGATCGAGTACGAGGAGAACTACATGACGCGTCTGCCCGTCACCAAGCAGGAGAAGCACAGACGTCGCCAGATGACGACCCTCGGCACCCTCGGCGACGAGATCACCACTTTCGGGGAGTCATCCACCAAGACCGCTAAGAAGAGAAAAGCTCAGAGGAAGGGCAAGGCTAAAAAGAGTAAGGGATCTTTCTCGTTCGCGGCTGGAGGGGACTGCGCGCGGATCGGCCAGGCGGGATACTAAAGCCGAGAATTTCGCTTTGCAGGTTTCAAGAAAAAACGGCATCATTAAGAGCGTGGGATGAAGAGACGACTCCGGGACTTTGGACGCGGACCCCCGGGGTCATCATGCAGCATTAACGATTTAAGGTAAAAGGTAAACAAAAAAAAAGAAAAATAAATTTACTCGACTTCTTCTTCGAAACAAAAAGCAGATGCCACTAATACTCGTTACTAAGTTAAGCTAAAGATAACATCGTAACATCCTAGTAATAAAAGAAAAAAAAAGACAACGTGTGTCGGACGGTTGGAGTAAAAATAGCACGATGGTAATTTATTACTGTATAAGACATACTAATGGTCGTGTAATTGATAATTCTAGTTAATAATGATTTTAATCTTTAACTGTTGTCTGAGAGATCAATTTTGATCTGTGGAGTTGAGGGAAAAGAGAAAGAGAGAAAGATAGACGAGATCCATCGGGGAAATTTTGCATTCCACGCGAGTGTGAATGCGAGGAACAACGTTCGAAGTAATAAAAAAAAAAAATTAAAAAAAAACGATGGCACATACGAGCTTAATGGAAATTATGTGTCGTAATAGCGTAATATTGTATTGTAATGTTGGATCGAGTAGTTGGACTTAAACCGGCTCCAGGATTGAAAATTGTGAATTACACGTAAAAGTTGAGAAAAAAAAAGCAGAACATTCCTCTGCTTTATTTTGAAATATTCTCCGGCTATATAGGGACGTGCGGAAGGTCAGGTGGAAATCACAGTAAGCATAGCAGGAGAGACGATATTGAATTAATTGTTAACGAAAAGCGTAAAAATCACAAGACATTCACGGCAAAAAAAAATGCGCGGAAGCTACAAAACACTCGAGAGCTCTAAAGAGAAAGAAAAATAAAAAAAGGACGAAAGAGAATTTTGGAAAAAAAAAAGATAAAAGCTATTCTTTAGGAACTGCACGCGCTCGGCGCGACTTCTGAGAGCAAACTTTTCGGAAAAGCACTTTTGGCGAAAACATACGAAGAAAAAAAAACGAAAAGAGGAAAAAAGAAACAGATATTTCGTCGATATCGCATGTCTTAGGATTTTCTCGCTGTCTTAGTGTAGTGAAGTAGTTACTAGTTTTACTATATTATATGTATATTTCGTTTGTGTTTTTCCCCTGGTGAAACTGTTGAGGCTATTACAAAACATTTGAATGTGAGTCATGTTTTTACGTTAAGTCTCATTTGTCTTATTATTATTACAATGTGCTTGTGCATTGTATATATATATATCTGTTGTTTTTGCGTTGCGTTTTTAAGTCGTTAAACTTATATTGATGGTAATATAAGGATAACACGAGCGTGTCAAAATTCAAAATTGTCGTCATGTTCTCAGATTTGATTTCGATTGAACCGTTTGTTTCATTTCTCAGAGGGAGAGAGAGGGGGAGCTTGTCATATCACACAGTAAACGGATAGAAAAGAAAGAGAGAGGAAAAAAGGAAGGAAGGAACGAACGAACGAACGAATGTACGTAACGAAGATTTCGGGCGAATATCACTTCTGCAAGCCTGATAAATAGGAAATATTTGTACAATCAAATCGGGGGGTATGGGAGGAGGGGACGGGGAGGGAAGAGGAGAGAACCGCATCGTCGGTTGTGACTCCCTACCCGCCCTACCCCTTCCTCCCCTCCCCCAAATAGGTTGCATTTTTTTAACGTTGTTAACGACGCCCGGGGACCTCCGACACGCTTCGTCGTGGCGTCCCCCGGGTGGAAAGATGTTCCTTTTAACGTAGCGAAGTCGAGCGACACATATTGTTCCACGCAGAGAATACGTAATGTTAGATATATGCGTTATATATGCCACATTGCTCACTCCAGTGCAGAAGTGATCCCACCCTCCCCGTTTGCCGCCGCCGCCACCCCCTGTTCCCGTCTCTCCCACCCTCCCCATCCTACCCCCCCTCCCCTCCCCCCCCTGCGCGAGAGAGGCGACTTAAAACTCGGTTCGCTGCGTATTGCCGGCCAAGGGCTCAACCATCCATAGATATTATATTTTTTACAGAAGTGTTCATAGATTGAGCCAACTTGGCGCGGCGCCGACGCGATATGTCACGCATATGCCTCCCCCTCTCCCTCGGCGATCTGTGAAGGCGATTAATTAAAGAAGAAAAAAAAAAAAGAAAAAATGTGATAATGATTATTCATGAAGTAATAGTTAAAGAGAAACTTAAACAAAATAGCACAATCGCTGGGCATTATTTACAAAGTGCTAGCAAGCCTAATGTCAGCAGCCTTGTCGTATTTGGTATTGGTAAAAAAAAAGGGGGAAAAAAAATGAAGTTGAAAAACGCCGAATTGCGGACGGATTTTTCGCGGAACATCCAAACGCTCCTGGAGAGACGTGCGTGCGTGCGCGCGCGCGCGAGAGCGCGCCTGTTATTGATACGAAATTAATTCCCGGGCGCGCGCATGAAGAGAGAAAGAGAGAGAAAGAATGAGAAAGAGAGAAAGTGAAAAAAAAGAATCAAGATCGAGACACACATACATACACGGGAGTCTCATCTCGACGGAATTTGTCCGACATTCGGCTTCCTCATACTCCATTGCATAGACGATAATTTTGTGAAGCACACCTACGGCCGGCGCGAACTGCGAGCCCGGAAAAAATATATATATAATATATGTACCGATCAACGCATCTTCATCTAATAATCGCTCCGTCAGATTTCGAAATACTGCCGATACTTTGCAATAGGCCTGTGCAACACACTTCGCCAAACGTACGCCCTGCGAACGAGACTATATGTATATATATAAATGTATGTATGTATACGCTCCGCGCGATCACACACGCGTACGCCAACACCGAACTTTTTTATACGATGTATTATTAAACGACCCTCCCCGGGCTCGCCGGTCGCAAGTGCGTGGTAGGTGTGCGAAGGGGTATTCATACGACATACACAACATATCCACAACACGCAACATATAGCAGCAAGGTAATAGGATTACATTGAATACACTACCTCAAATCAATAGTAATATGGATTTACAGTAATACGGGGAAAAAAAAAAGAGAAACTCTCCGCGGCGGTCGCGCTCTGCCCTCCCCTAACTACTCCACTACCGTTGTTGTTACGATTGCCTCGATTCTTTACACGGTCGCCGATGACGTTTTTTTACCGGGACGTATGTATATTTCCACCGGGACTTTGTTGAAGGATGTACAGTGGAATTTATTCGCCTTGAATACTCTCGCCTATCTATATTAACCCTGGGAGGACGCAGGTGTAACTTTACAATAGCGAACGATAGTAGGCTTCTAGTAGAAAGAGATAAGAGAGAGAGAGAGAGAGAAAGAGAGGAAGAGATAGACGAGTTACAACTCATCTTACAGATAGGGATTTAGAGCAGATCTCCATTCCGTTTTGTTGATCTGAACCGTCTGTAATAGAGGAATCCAGGATGACATTTTTTAAATTCCGTTTATTCCATTCCATAAGTCCGTTCGAGGATAGCGATAGGAACGTGTGAAGTCAGGATTAAGATGTTCGATTGATCGCTGGTTTCATGCATTTAGGTGGGATCATCCCCGTCGTCGGGTCGATCCCCGCCCGTGTTTTCCCAGGGTTATAAGGAAAGGACCTACAAATGTACAAATATACTATATATTAAGGAGACAATTGCGCGAGAGAGCGTTGCCGCCTGCGGACCTTTAAAAGAGTAGTCCTTCAAATCCAACAACGCTGCCGAATGCCGAACTGAGAAAAAAAAAGAAAAAGAAAGAAATGTATCAAGAAGTATCTTTGCAGCAGAGACGGAATGATGATAGGGATGATTTATTGACTACATTCATAGTCTTTGAAGAGTAACGACGTTTGATTTGATACATATTGGTGAATTTTTCTGTAATTTATTACGTACACTAATAATAATAAATAAAAAAAAAATGACAATTCTCAATGTGCGAACGAGAGAGACTGCGAGAAAACGGAGAGAGCGAGCGAGAGAGAGAGAAATTAAGGGTGAGACAGGGAGAGAGAGAAAGTTTACCTTGTACATTTACAAATTGTGGTTATTACGAATGAATTATTATGATTATTAATTTTATTATTATCACACGGATTATACTATGATTATTATTATCATCATGTAGAATGCTTCTTACTGACTGAATAAAATGTTTTCAATGTCTAAGATGAAGAAAGATCGCCACCTTTCCAATATATTCGTACATATAATATATTTCTCTAATGTACAAATATTTTTTACATAATATTAAGGAACTCGAGAATAGAAAAATATACATTCTATTAGAAAGTAAGAAAAATTTCAACAGAAAACGAGAATATTTCGAGACATATAGCTTTCGCGTTAATTCGCTAAGTTTTTACTTTAAATTCGCCCAAAATTGCCTTCATATCGGAAATTTTCTTATCTTTTTGGTAAATTTGTCGCTTCAAATTTGTTATCCTTTTGCGTAACTGTTTAGCCTGAGTGCCACTCTCCTTCCTAATTGCTTCCATGTGTGAAAAATTCATACTCCATACTCTTTCAGGCGAGATCCTCGTTTCCTTGTCCTCAGTTGTTTTCCGCGTTTCTGGTAATAAGGAAAGCGTAGTGTTCGTTTCTTTGTCACATTTTGAAACTGCGTTGAAAAAATTATCGCTTATGTTTACACGTAAAATTCAACACTATCAATCAAAAGATTTATAATTCACGAAATTTACAAGTGGCAGGCTGTTGTCCGAGATCACTTCTTACCCTCAGTCGTGTGTTTAAAAACTTTGGCGATGCTAATACTGAAATAAATAAACATAATTTTATTACGCAGAGTTTAAAAATCCTAAGCTACATTAATTAAAAAAAAGGATAAATTCGAGTTAGAAAAAATTAATGAAAGAAACAATACTTTTAATGAATCATAAAATTTTTTCAGTGTTTTACCTGTTTTGTCTGTATCCATATTGTATATTTTTTCAAAAATCTGTAATTACATATGTATATTACTAATTTATATTTAAAATTTTTGTTTCTTTTTAAATTTATAAAAAGTATCTATTATACCATTGTCATGTTAAATTATTTTCTTAATTTTTTTATTGAAAAATTAAAAAAACTTACATGTGGTACGGCATTTTTTCTCAATTTTGGATAGAAATAGGATATACGATCCATATATTTTTCCTCAAAATGAAGAGAACACACACGACTTTTCATATTAATAATTTTGTTTTCAAGTCTTAGTATCCTTATCCATTCTGCTCTCCTGACAGGATCTGAAGGAAATCTGTGAAAAGCGACGATGCAATGTAATAAGTCGTATAAAAAAATACACATGGTGTAACTTATTTACGTTTACATCCACACAACAGCAATGTGTTTTCCTTTTTTTTTTTTAAATAAAAATAGTATGTAATTTAAAAAAATACGAGAAGTAGAAAAGATTGATTTTTAAATTAAGTTACATTGATCTTTAATTATTACTCACGTGTGAAATGTAATTTTATCTACTTTCTTCAATTCTTGCACTGCGTAAGAATTTCTCTTAACATCAGTGGTGCTTTCACATCCATCAGCAATGCAACGTACAAGCATCCTTTTTTTCTATAAAAATTAAACGTATTCCAGTTTAATTTATAACCAGTTATTTTGTTTGTCAACACGTGTGTAGATTGCTCTTCTTCTTTCGCTTCTCTCCTATTCCGAGAAGGGATTTTCATAGGCGAGGAGGTAAATATTTATTTTGAAGCTCGCTTAAATTTTCGATTAAGAAAATATGCTCAATTGACGCAGAAATAGATTGGGAAAATTAAATTTGTTCCTTCGCTATGAGAGAAGTATCGACGCTCCGCATTGACGAACGCCATGTCGTTGACAGATCGGGTGCAACACTTTTTCTCGACAAGTGGATCTCAACCTCTGCAACTTCGTGACGTTACCGCGCCGCTTGCGCCATCTGTACGCTCGTTTTCAAATCTCATCCGCAATGTAGACGTCTCTCGTCCGTCTTGTCTTCTTGTGACTCGTCTTATTCTTATACCTAGTTGAAGATCGTTTGCCACGCTTCTGAATTTTAATTGTTTACAGCAATTCGAAATTAATTAATTAAAGAAGTTGGTCATCATACTTTCCATTCGCAGGGAAGTAGATGACAACTTTACGCGCGATTGGATCAGCAGTTGAATCGTCACGTTGTTTATATCTCGCCCTGGTTTTCCGCAACTTTTGTTTTGCATCTTTTTAAGAGGTTTGACGCCTGACATGTTGCCAAATAACATGTATGTCAACCGGAATTTTACGTCTCGCGCTCTTCCCGAACGGATTTTCACGCATTTCGCATTATGAGTCAAAGTGTAAAAACCATTGACTTCCGTCGACCGATGGTGCAAGGTAAAATTAATCCTCGATTCTGTATGAAATATATTACAAGGAATCATGTCTCTCGTATATGTGTGTGACCATTAATGTTTATTTAATTAATTATTACTATTTGCCTTTAAGAGCAACGTTACCGTCAAGGGCTGGTCGCTCGTTGATCGCACACTGCGGGGAACCGACTGGGTTAGAGAGGCAATTCGAAAACATGGACCAGCTGATCGATGTGGACGACGTCGAGACTGGGATGCGCTCCTCCAAGAGCTCGACGGCCTCGACGCTGCACTTCGGCTGCATCAGCTCGAACTCGATATGCTACGTCGCGATCACGATCGCGACCCTGACCTTCCTCGCCGTGATCGTCTTCATCTACCGGGACATCATAAAGCTGCTGCTCCACTGGATCGAGCATCAGAACGCCTGGATCATCGCCGTGATCTTCATCTGGCTGTTCACGCTGGTGTCGTTCCCGATCGTCGTCGGCTACCTGTTCCTCATCGTCGCCAGCGGCTACCTGTTCGGCATGGTGCGCGGCATGGCGATCGTCATACTCTCCGCCAATCTCGGCATCGCGATCGCCCACGTCACGCTGGGCATGCTGTCCACCAGGCTGCCGATAGGCGACCTCCTGCAGACCGGCGCCCCGACGACCGCGAGGGCGATACTGCGCGTGATATCCGGCCCGCAGGCCTTCAAGATCGTGCTGTTCGCGCGGCTCACCCCGATCCCGTTCGGCCTTCAGAACACCATCTTTGCGGTACGTGCCCCTCGGCGCTTTTCGTCGCCGCCTCCACGCGCGCAACTCGCGACAATACTATGTATATTTATAACGTGCGTATAATTAGGTCAGTAACATAGGTGGTTTTCAATACCACGTAGCCAGCGCGATAGGCTTGCTGCCCGCCCAGCTGGTCAACGTTTACTTGGGCAGCAGTCTGAGGTCGATGCAGGACGTGCTGGAGGACAGGTCCACGGCGGCGACCGGCTACGTAGTGTTTTGCTTCCAGGTGCGTTGTTATGTATCCTTTAAAGGCTGGATCTACTAAGTGTGCTCTTTGCCATCTGCCTTTTTTTTTATCTCTTGCCTCTTTCCCCTCTTTGCGACCGATTTATCGCCTTCTCGTCATGCGTCTCCTGTCTCTTCCGAGATTCGTCGACATTTATCCCGGGCGAAAATGAAGGATCGGGATATAAGAGGCAAAAAGGGCAAGGGTGATGAAAAGTGGTAAAAAAAAGCGAGGGAACAAGATCACATTGTAGATCCAGCCTCACGCGGAAACGACAGTCGAAGTAATAATGCTTTCTGTGTTATAGATATTGGTGGGACTCTCGCTGATGGTTTACATTGTACAGAAAGCGCGGAAGGAGCTTCAGTTGACGTTGTTCGAGGCCGATCTCGCGAATTCACCTCATTACGTTCTGGATGGTCTACCAGATTCCAAGATCTTGTCAAATGAGTATCTCATAGCGTAATTCTATTTTTTTTTTTTTTATACTGAACGTTACTTGTAAAAGCATTTTTGACAGTTTATAATTTTATTGCAAGCAACAACAGCGCTCTCCGACCTCTTTCTCCATATAATTTATTATATTTTTAATGTTTTTTTCTGTGTATCTTCCAGAGGTATATTTCGCTAATTGTAAGTCTTATCGATGGTGCTCTCGGAAATTTAAGCTTTCGAATGTGGCGTTATACATATGGGGGGAAGTTTGTTATCAGAGTATTAAATGCGTATTAAGTCTTATCAAAGCTAACGTGACTTTTTGGTACCAAACGAAGCCTCATAGGGCATGCGACGCGTGCATGTATATTTTGGTATAAAAAATAAAAAATAAAGCGGAACGAGGGAATGACGCGGAATCAGAAATTCTATGTGTATAAAGCTTCCTTGCAATAAGAGCATACTCTATATAATTTATATAATGCTCATATCTGTGTATATTTTATATAAATATATAAATATATATGATATATTTATATATTATATATAATAAATATGCATCTAAGATTAATAATAGAGACTGAAACTTTACATTTATACCTTTTGCAATGTTATCGATCAGTTATATTGGTCTCTCTCTTTTTCTCGGTTCTTTATCCGAACTCTGTTGTTAATGTAATGATATTTAATGTGCATTTGTCCGTTGTGTTTTTTTTTCTCGTGCAATATATTCCATTTGTATATTATATTATATTATATTGTATTATAAAGAGATACAGTTATATCTTGTACGATATAATCCTGGAAGGAGAATGGTGTGCCCGGTGATAGGAAAGAAAAAAAAACGAATAATAAATTTCTCATTCTTTAACCGAACTGTGCGTGTGTAAATAAATTCCAAACGTAGTCCTTTTCTCTCTCTCTCTCTCTCTCTGTCGTGTACTTTGTAAACATTTATTATCTGACTAGAACTTCGGATGTATGTATATATCGACGTTTTTCTCTCTCGCTTCGCTCGAAGTCCCGAAGCTCGAAGAATTTCGCGCATGTGTCCCCCGTATATATACATATATGTCGTGCGTACAAGCGATACCATGGTGGATTCCTTCCAGCTTCGAGACATCTTAATATATGTCGTACATTATGTATATTTAGAGGAATGGCGACGGCGGCGGCGGCGTCGTTTTTTTCATGCCTGCGTACACTGTGTCGTCTACTCATATATCTTTTTTTTCTACATATACTCTCCGTTCGTTTTTTTTTATACAATTCCGTTATCTAACTTAGCGTAACTGGAATCACATTATAAAAATCGTCTCGACGGTTCCTTACATCGTGTATGTACAAAGATATAATGGCGCGGTCGGATATTCTTATCATAGCGGCTATACAGTTTTTTTTCTGCTTCTACATCTCATAATATACATATATAATCGCATCGTTCTCGCATGCGCCTCCGGTTTCCTCGGTTACGTTTTTTTCTTTTTTTTTTAAAGCTCGCGAGAGGCAGCTTACGTATGTACAAGACGCATCTCGGCCGACGAGCGATAAGAGATGCGACGCATCCGACGATTACGATTACACGGAAGTAGAGTATCGTGACTCGTCGTCGCGGGGAGTATATTTACATGCTAAAAAACGAAAACTTATATCCAAGTTCCTGAAATTTACTCGATGCGTAACGGGTAACTCGGTGCGCACGATCGTTCGAGGAGAGGAGCCTGAAAGCCGTTTGGGTCGAAAAGTCGAGGATGTGAGTCGAGCTGCTGACTCGTGTCGACGTATATATATGCACATAATACAATAACACTTTCAGATTTCATTATCTCGTCGTTAGAAGGCATTTCCGGTGAATCAACTTATTCTTAGATTATGAATAAAAGAACGCGGGCTTCGAAGCTGCTATATTACCTAAGAAACAGATCATTTTACAAGAGAAAACGGATCGACGTTTACCGGATATTTCATCCAACTCGACTAAATATTTATATCCCCGTGTCTCGTGACAACCGCGGGGCAGATACACACTAGATAAGGAAGCAATTATTCAGTTGGAAGGAACATTATGGTCGGTACAATAAAATTTCTATATTTAATCGCGATACTTTTAAACAACGAAATTCCCTTGCTTAATTAACTAATAATTCGAAATCACTAATTAATTGCATTACGTAACAATTGGTTCTGATTAATTATAATTTAATAACAATTAATTATAATTTAATATTACAAGTGATTAAAGAAGGAAACTTTATATGCAGTTGACCATAATACATTCTGTCTCGCTACGTCCCTCTGTAAGCCAGAAAATCACTTTTGTTTCGCTCGACTTCACATTAAGAGCTATAATTCGTAGCGTTAGGCGAAAAAACTGCATAATAATTTCTTGGCTCACTCTTGGTAGAAAGCAGCGCGATGGGGCGGTGTGTCAAGTTGCATGAAATATCTTGCAAGCGCTAAATCGCGACGCTTTAAAGTTACAGGAGCTTTCTCAAGTGCGCTATCGTCTCTCTCTCTCTCTCTCTCTCTCTTTAGCTTTATCTCCCCCTTTCACTTCATATTCGACAAATATATATTATTTTTCGGCAAACATAATAACAACAACAACTTTATGGCCACGTTATATAAACACATATCTATAGAATACAGAAGAGATTACATATAAAAACCGATCTCTAGCTTACTTACGTATATCAGCTAACCAGTCCGTTAGAAAGCTATATCGATATCACAAAGTTCCGAGGGGTTTTTGATCTCAAACAAAGTCGTGTAGGTATAAGTATAAATGACACATTAGAGTGTGCTTCGTCCTCGAACTGCATTACGGTTCATTAAAAAAAAACAAGAGAATGAAGAAGAAACTCTGACAAGCAAGACGTATTACAAGGCGAAATAAATAGAATTGCGAGAGGCAGTTCCGTTAAACATGTTGAACCCGAAGTGTATAAGTACTGTGACAAATTCTTGCCTCATTCTCCACCCCCCCCCCCTCCCCTCCCGTGATTAGCCACAACGTATCGAAATTCGAAAGTAGAAAAATAAATCACACCACAAACGGGGCGGCAGCGGGGCTCGTCGTAAGTACAAAAAATGAGGATTGCTTTGCTTCGAGTCGAGTAACGAGGGCATTACTGTTGAAAGAATCGGAAATTTTCACACGTGGTGCGAACAGAGAACGTTTCGCCGTCGAGAATCTCTCACCGCTCTCGCTGTGTGTGTGTGTATATGTGTGTCATTATAACGGCAGGAGATCGATCAGATTCGCCCGCGGCTGCGTCAACGATTCCGGGAAGAATTCCGCGAGCTTGTTGTAGAGCTCGGTACGCAGGTTGTGAACGTCGCGCGCGTTCGCGCACTGCTGCTGCGCCGCCGTCAGCTCGTTCAGGGCCGCGTTCGAATGCGAGGCGTCCTCCGGCGAGTTGTTCTGCTTCCGGAACAGGATCGACGTCAGGAGTTGGAACTGCGCAGCGAAAGGGACAGCGATCAGCGAGCGAGCGAGGCGGGTGTTTACGCGTTTGGCGATTCAGTCGCGGTCGTTCCGCGATCGGATATCAAATATAAAAACAAGTGAATGGCGTTGGAATAGCCAAAGCCATCTCTCTTTCATTTGAATATATACCTCCTTAGTTTGCTGCGTGTCGCTGTGGTCGATAATCTCAAAGATCTTCGTCTGCAGATACTCGAGGGCCTCTATACTGTTGCTCAGGGCGAGCTCCCTGAACTTGTGCTTCCTGATGATCAGCTTGCACCTCTTCAAAATCTGCTCGGCCGTGGGTCGGCGCAGTTCCAGTTGCCAAAAGTCGTCGAGCCGCAAATTCGGAAGGCAGGATCTGCCTGGATTGCCGCCGAACAGAAAATGAACCTAACGCGGAAATGAATTTGCGAGGTTATTATTGCGAGTCTATCGTCAAACGGACATTTTCATTTAAAAGCAATAGAATTAAAGAGAAAAAAGGATACAACTGACATTAATTTATTCACAGATTTACAACACGTACCTTTCTGGTGTGGTCGTAAACAAGCTGGTGCGCGAATCGCGGGCACGGTTCATAATCTTGCATCTTGCTCCAGTATTTTTCTCCGACGTTCTCGTTACGATATATACAAGACCACTTGCTGTTCTGAATATTGTACACCCAAAAGGAATTTTGAACGTTGTCGTCCCTCTTATCCTTATCCTTGCTCAAACCCTGAAAAATATTATTTTATATAAATTACCTATATATTATTTGTATAAATATAATACATATATTATATAAATATAATTTATATAATATAAAATTATTTACAACGCAACAATATAATCGTGAAAAATTCTTTGCTCTCTCTTTTTTGTAATAATTAAAAATTCACGTATTAATTAATTGCGCTTCGAATTAACAACCTCGCTACGCGAGACACGAACCGACAAAACGTAGATCTCGCCGAGTTCAGGATCGATGGTCGCTCTCTGCGTGAATCCAGCCGCAGGAACGTGATTGGAGTCCTTCGTCGTGCCGAACTCGTTGTAACTTATATATTCGACCTGCTGCGTGTCGACCTCGTACGTGAAGAAATCGCTCAGATATTCCTTGCCTCTCTGACCGGCGAATATGTACAGTTTTCTCGACCGCTGGAATAAGATTCAGCCTTTCAAATATCTCGTCTCTTTTTTGCGTTTGCTGTTATTTCTCTCGCGTGCTAAAGAAGGATTGGGATACCAACCGGATGAAACAGCATGGAGTGGCCGGCGCGAGATCTGTAGATCGGCATGTCTCTCGAGCACGGTTTATCGGCGATATCACAGGCGAGTCTGATCCAAGTGCCGGTCGGCACGTGATACGAGTACAATCCCGAGAAGTGCGGCTCCGGTATTAAACTGTGTTCGTCGGCACTGCGCGATTTAGGAAAATGACGTCAGAGAAGGTTGGACAAAATCCCAAAATCAAGAGTAATATTATCGAAAGATAAAAGTCGCCATTTCTCTTTTCCCGCGTAACGTAACTTACCTACTCGGCTGCGTCAGCACTCGTCCGCCAAAAACGTAGATGGTTCGCTTCTCCACGTCCATCGACATCTGATGGTCGAACACAAGCGGCGGCCCGCCCATCGTACCGGTGTCCTCCGAGATTTGCGTCCATTTGTTCGACTCGATGTCGTAAACGTAAAAGTCGCTCTTTAAATTCTCGCAGGTACGGTACTGCGTGTCCAAGTACCTGCCCAACGTGAAGAGTTGCCTTCTCTGTGGATCTAAGCACATCTTGTGACATGAACGCGCGCTCGGTCCTCCCTGGAGAAACAGCAGATAGGCGTGATAGGCGTGACATCAACGAAGATAAAGTACCGGTGTGCATCGACGTGGTCTGACTGAATTTCGTAGACGAAACGTATCTATTTACCAAATTCGCGACACAAAGAAATCCTCGAAAGGAGGTATTTACGTAACTGCGGAATTTATTTTGCAAATCTCTTCTTAATTATATATGTATATATATATATTTTTTTATATCTTGTACTTTAAAAGTCTGCTTTATTCACGAAGAAACTAATTAGTTTTGGATTCTCCGTTCTTTCAAAATGCCAACATCCTCAAAGAAGAAACATCCTACGCGAACAAACCGATTGTCGAGCGCATTGTTTACGCGTGCAACGCGGCGAAGAGATAAGAGATTAATTGTAATCTCGTACCTCCGGTGTGTGTCAGACCGCGTGTGATGCCCAATTTCAATTCATCGAACGCTACCGACCATCGCTTCGGTATCCTTGCATATGAGCGTCCACTTGCCGGCCTCTATGTCGTACGACCACAGGTCAGAGAGATCCTGATTACCGTCCCAACCGCCGAAGAGATAGAGCACCTCGGCCGTGGGATCGAGCACCATCTGATGGCCGCCCCGCATCCCGGGCTTGGGCTCGCTGGACGATAACTTCGTCCAAATTGCTCTATAAGTTTGAGCATTGATATAATCGTTTAAGAGCCCCACTAAAAAGCGGATTCAAAACAATGTGTAAGCGTCAACGTGGCTATGAAAAAACGGACACGAGTCAATGGGGGGGCGGGAGGGAGGAAGAGAGGAGGGGGGAGAGAATCGACGTGATCACGACCGTCACCACGTCGGGACTTACTCGTGAGCGCGTTGCTGATGAAACGCTCCGCTTGCAGATGGTCGCCCTTGGTGACCAACAGATCGTACAGCGTCGACAAGCGCGGATCCTCCAGCGGGACGCCGGTGACCCTCTGCAACGTCTCGACGATCTCGGGCTGCTCCATTTGACGGAAGTGTTTCATGCACAGTCTTATTATCTCCTTCTGCCGATACTGCAATACCAAGAGTGTCCGTTAGTTTCATCTCTGAGTATTCTTACTTCCTAGATTACTGTTAGATTAGCAAAAACGGCGGAAGAAAATAATATTCATTTCCGAGTTGTCGGTTTGTTATTAAAGATCTCCAAGCAATTGCAATGTATTTTCTCTTATAAACTTCCAGCCGCAGATTTCGTATTAAAACAAGTTTAAAGCTTGTAATTACTATTAATTTTTCCGTTAATAAATGAAAGGGATTTTTTTTCTGTACAATGACGCGTTTACCGTGTTGAACCACTCGAGGCAGGGCTTGACAATTTTGGGGTCATTGATGCCGGTCAATCTGATGTGCCATATGGAAAAATTGAAACTTGGACCCCACGACTGTAATGGAAGAACCTTTATGTATCGTATGGGAAAGTAATTCCCTTCGTTTCCTAAAACATGCTTGAGATCAAATGTCTCTGGTATGGAATCATTCCTCAGTCCGCTGAAACAAATAAGATGCTTCGGTTAGATAACAAAATGAAAATGACGATTGACGTAAAAAAAACAAGAGAAAGAAAGAATAAGAGAGAAAGAGAGAGTAAAATCGTTTAGCAAACCTTTTCGAGAAACAAACAAGACGGTTATAAACGGTTATAACAATAAACGAAATGATTAACAATAGAAAAAAACAAAGAAAGAGAGAGAGAGAGAGAGAGAAAAATCGTCGTGGCAAACCTTTCGAGGAGCTCCATCATATTCTCGGGCTCCAGTCCGCCGAATATCTTGAACTTCTTTATATTACACACGTGGGTCTTCTCATACTTGCCGAAGGTGATGCACTTGACGACGGAGGGGCTCTGCAGCTTGAGGATGAGAAACTGAAAAACGCAACGGGCGAGATGAGCAGCGGGTGACGTGGGCGGAGTGAGGAGGGGGGGGGGCGACATGTGCGACACACGTAGACTCACCTGCGGGTGATTGTCGATGTCGGAGGACCAACGCGAGGATTGATCCGACGGTATGTCGACGATAATATTTCTGAAAAAGGAAAAGACATTGGCGGCATGAGCGTTGCGGCGGACGGAAGCTCGCTCTCTCTCCCCCTCACGTTACCACGACACAATCCGGACTGCCGCGTCTACCGGAGTCTACGGATCCTTATTTTTCTTTAAGAGGTTAGGAAACCGCGAGTCGTCCGAGAGGTTATACCCCCGGCCGTTCCCCGGACGATACGGACTTACGGGACGCCACGCGGGGGGAGGAGGGTGGCAACTCACTCGGGCACGTAACAGGAAGAATAGCTGGAGCACTTGTAAATCCGATACTCCAACTTATGAAAATCACCACTCTCGCTCGACGCCATGTTACACAAGTGACATAACCTTCAACGTTCTGCCTGCTGGTCTGGTGGGTGCTGCAGGGGAGATCCGAGATGATAGACGTGCGGGCGCTCGAGTTCGAGCTCGAGTAATCGAATCCGTACTTCCGATTCGATTACTCGCGTTCAAACATTGCACGAATATCAATCACGCGGGGACCGCAGAGTTGATTACAAATTCAATAAATCTCCGCTAAAATGTGGTTCAAGTCTCCGCTAAGTGAGGTTCGAATCTTCGCTAAGTGGGGTTTGAGTCTCCGCTAAGTGGGATCTTTCGAACAGCGCGTATTCGAATATCGGAATTTATGCTCCCGCACTAATTGTATTCGAACCCCGTCATTTAGTCCGTCCGTGCAAACTCTTGGCGTAAAGTTTGCTCGAAATTTGGCTACAATTTGTAGCAAACTCTTGGCATAAAATTTGCTACAAATTGTCTCATGCTTCTTTCTGCTCAAATCAATATCCCACTTAGCGGAGACTCAAACCTCACTTAGCGAAGATTCGAACCTCACTTAGTGGAGACTCGAACCACATTTTAGCGGAATTTAAATTTATTCTCCCGCATTTGTAGCAGTTAATTATAATAGCGCGCGCGCATTCGAATATCCCACTTAATTAGCGAAGATTCGGAGCAATCTTTAGGAGGAAGTTAACCTTATCGCGTATATGTATCTCCGTCCTTCGGACGTATGTACAGTGTGTCTCGCGTCAGCTGTCGCGCGCGTGAATGCCAGTGAATGCGCGACTCGGCCCTGATCCGCGCTTTTGCGTGGGAGCCTGTAAAGCGTATAGTGTCCGTACCTACCGCTGACGTGCCGTGACGTCCGTGGCGTCTCGGTCGTACACGTGCGCAGGTGGTCAATTGTGAATTGACAATGGATTTGGACGTGTGATGGACGTGAGCGAGGAGGAGTCCGGGATTTAGACACGCTCGGCCGCGCGGATTCCGGTCTCGCGTCAGTTGCCGCGGGGAGCAGATCGCGCGCACGTGGGGGATCGGCCAGCCGGTAGGAGGACTTCGTCATGGTACGTATGGACGACGCGCGGACGACGTGCGGAGACCCGTCGTGGAGGTTCCTCGCGCGACACACGGCTCTCTGCACATCTCTTCAAAGCTGATCGATATGCCCGTATGTGTGTATGTTATTGCTCGCCGTGCGGCAGCAGGAGGTAGGCGAATTAGCGGCGCGCGGCCACGGCCACGATCACCGGGAGACGATGGACGACGAGCGGCAGCGGCAGCGGCGGCACTCGTCGCGGGCGGCACTCTGCGAGAGCGACGAGGTCGAGAACTCGGACGAGAGCAGCGAGAGCAGGCCGTCCGGGGAGCGGTGGGCCCCGGTCGGCGCCAACGACGACGGCGACAACGAGTTCGCGGACGAGTACAAATACGTCAACGCCAACGTGGACAAGTACGTTGCACCGCGTATACGAAGCCCCCGTCTCGTGCGCGTCTCCTCCCTCCTGTTTTTTCCCCCCTGAGAATCTATTTTCGCTGTAAAACGCCCGGAGCAGGCGACTCTCCCGAGAACATATGCTCGATCCTTGACTGACTGTAACTGGGTCACTCGAGATCTGGGATGGGAATTCATTGGTTTTTTGAAGATTACTCGTAAATCTCCTTAATATTTTAACAAGGGTGTAAACAATTTAATTACAAAAACTGCTACTTTTATCCTGCTGTTCTGTGTACTGCGTATTTATATACGCGGCGCGACTTTTTGATCGTCTAATAGAGTATAGAGATCAAGAGTGACCCAGCGATAATCTTGTCTTTTGAGGATTAAAAGAATAAGATGTTTTTTTTTACAGCTGAACTAGTGTATACTTTTTGTACTTAAAGTGAAATAGTATATTGAAATTGGACGAAAACGGGAGAAAATTTTAGAGTGCGGCGATAGAAAGCAAATCCATAGCTTCATCATTGTGTATTTAAATTATTTTATAATGATTTTATTTATTATTGCACGAATTTTGTATTGAGCGGGAAATCAATACGACTGTATCAAAGCCATATTTAATAATTGGCGTTATAGATGAGACAATTCTTTTATCGGCAGCCTCGCGTACGACATGGAGAGGGTGAAGATGCTGGAGGAAGAGCAGGAGATGCTGAACTCGTCTCTGATAGCGTTAACTACCCACTTTGCTCAGGTGAGAAGAGATCGAGAGCTCTCTCGAGCTCGCTGTTTGATCTTCTCCGTCGCTCGTGTGTCAATCAATGGAAATGTCCATTTGTGCAGGTCCAGTTTCGTCTACGGCAGATCGTGGACGCGCCGGCCAGCGAGAAGGAGACGCTGCTCAAGGAGCTGGAGGAGTTCGCGTTTAGGGGAATACCGGACGTGCCGAATAGCTTGCTGCTGGAGAGCAGATCCATCACGCCCGTCTCCCCCATGTCCTCCTGCGAGCGAAGCGTAAGCCATACTAGAAAGCGAACTTTTCGGCATAAGCGAATTTTCCTTGGTTGTTTTACGATACCTTGAGACTTTTCGTTGCTTTGTTTGTTCGGCGACATCCCTTACGGATATTCAATTTAATACGGGAAATTATTTTAATTTGAATATTAAAGCGCGCGCTGTTATTTAGTATTTTTCTAAGTAATTTCAAATGTTAAATTGACCGGTATTGCATTTCTGTAAAGGATTTTTGTGTTGCTTCGACGCCTTTTTTTATCGCTCGTTTTACGTCTAGTCATTTTTAAGCCTTTTTTTTTAGGTTTTTATACTTTTAAGCATTTTTTAAGTTTTTATTCTTTATTCTTTTTTTTTATATTCTATTATTTATTTTATTTATATTATACATATTTTACTTTGTCGTATTATTTGTTTATGTAAGTCATATTTATGTCTGCTCTTTTTTATACCACCTCTGAGCGTGCAATAAAAGTTTTTCACGTTCTCTCTCTCCCTGTGTATATTCATCCGTTTTATTTTAATACCTTCACGCATCCGATCCTTCGCTCCACGCGTGATCAGTCTGGGATTATTTTTTCTGGCTTGCAGTACGCTTGCGTCGCAATTTTCTAAACCTTTTCAGCTACAGCACAACAGGTTGCGTAGGGATGTTACACTTCTTTTCCACGGCTATTCCCTTGATTTTTAACAGCTGCTCGACAGCCAGTCGACAGCTCTTTAATCGCGTCGGATGTAAACGTGACTCCGTAGGTGATCACCGACGCGGAGGTCGAGTCGAAAATGGCATTGCAGCGAACGAAACAGAGAGAGCTGATAAGCCAGCTGAAGTCGCAGCTGGAGGATCTGGAGAAGTACGCGTACGAGACGGGCGACGCCGATCTACCGCAGAGCGTCATTCTGGAGAGGCAAAATATCATAATTAGTAAGTAAAGTGGCTAATCGAAAGACTGTAATCGCGAGGCAGCAGGAAGAGAGAGAGAGAGAAAGTAAAACAATCATGCTCGCCGATGCCCGCAGGTCACCTGAAGGAAAAGTTGAACTTCAACGTCGACGATCTGTGCAAACTGCCGGCGGACGATCTCAGGTGGCAAGTCGACTATGCCATAAGTCAAGTACGTGTAAAGCGATCTCGAGATCCACGTTTATTGTTAGTCCCAAAGCTACCGGGATATACTTTCGTCAATTTGGAGCATAGACTTCTCTTCGACCGATAAGCACGTAATTTTCGAATAATTAACTGTCGAAGATAGAAAGTAAATAAAATAAAGTACGTTCCTTAAAAGAAGGCAGATTAAACTATGTGCTTTAATTGCTTTCATAAACATATGTAAACTTTAATAAAATTCTAATTCTAATAATTCACTTGTAGAAAACATATAATGTCAAAGATTGAAATATATGATGTTAAAGCGATTTCTCTATAGAAAAATAATTTTCAAATAGATAATTAATGAACTGTGAGGATAAGAATTTTCGGTATTTTTCTGGGACTGACATGCTACTTTTCCTCTATTTACAATAATATTCAATATCCGCAAAATCTATACGATAGATCGTCAGCCCGTTGAAGATGAAGGAGCAGCTGGTCTTCCAACTGAAGACGCAGATCGCCGACCTGGAGCGTTTCATCAACTACCTTCAGGGCGAAGTTAGCACGGAGACTCTGGCGTGCACGTGCGCGTGTCCGGTGCACGCGGGCGGCTCCGGCGCCTCGTCGGCTTCGTACGGTTCCAAGCGACGCTTCGAACGTGGACGACCCGTCGAGGAGGAGGCGGCGGGTGCCGCTAATCGGACCAGGACTCTGAACACGGTGCGCAAGGTGGTCGCGCTTCTGCACATGTTCCTGATGTCGCAGCTGGGCTGCGGCAGCGAGCGGGTGCGCCGGAACTTCGGCGGCAGCAGCAAGAACCCGGTGCACAATTGGCGCGATCTGCGCACCAGGCTGGACATCGCCGTGGAGCACGTGCTGGACACGATCGCGGAGACGTCGCAGCAGCAGCAGCAGCAGCTGCAGTTGCAGCTGCAGCAGCAACAGCAGCTGCAGCGTCACGCCGACGACGACGAGGAGGAGGACGTCGACGACGTCGACGACAACGAGAACGACTACACGTCCGACTCGGACTCGCCGTCGCACGCGAACGCGCGGCTCACGTCCGCCGTGAGGAAGCACCTCGCCACCTCGGTCAGGGATCTCATGCAGCACGGCCTGACCGCGGACGTGCTGCGCTCCGGGTCCAGCGTGGTGCCGTTCGTCGGCTGCTTCCCGCAACGCGGCAGCGTCACGCAGGCGAACCTCATGCACGCCTGGGAGCTGATACTCAAGTACTACGAGATCAAGAACGGGCGCCGTTACAATTCCAGTCCCGCGCAGAAGCTGTCGCAGAGTTTCAATCTGGACCTCGCGGCCGGGAGGATAGCCTCCTCGAAACAGGTAGGTGCTATTCCTCGCCACCGGGCGAGAGGCGCCCAGGATATCCAGGGAGCGTTAATTAGCGAGAGGAGATAAAGCGCGAAATGTGGAATTCTTCATTACATTCAAGAATTCGGATGAATTCGTTGTAGTAATAAAATTCCCTGGATTTTCTGCAAATAGAAAATTGCTATTGTATCCATAATGTATTAATGTTTCGTTTTATCTTGTCCGTTTAGAGCTTACTGACGACTATAGGTAACATCATCGCTTCTCACAGTCCGTACAAGCGAAGCTACGACTCGCATTTCAAGGCATTCGTATGCGCGGCTCTGAAGTGAGTAATAGCGCGATCGCGTCGCAATAAAGCTATCGAATTCTATATTACAAATATTCGTTGTATGATCAGCTGTTAATTATATTAATTTACTAATTCATCAAATGACCGTTGTGCTTTCAGCGCGAATAAACTCGTGATATGGCTGAAGTTGATCCTGCAATGCCAGTACCTTCTAGAAAATTATTACCTCTCGTGGAGCTACGTTGTAAAGACAGGTACGGTCAGAAAGTTAGAGTAACTAGCGGCGCAACGCGGAATTGCATTTTTTTTTCTCACGACGAGACTTTCCAGGTTTCCAGGATGCGTTTCACACCTTGGATCGCCTTACCAGTTACAAGTTCGATCTGCCGGTGGACTTGGCCGTGCGACAGTTTCAGAATATAAAGGACGCGTTTTGATTGTGCAATCTTATCGTTATCGTTTCGTGGAAATGACAGATGTAGGACGTAGAACGTACACGTACTTTCAGTACTTTCTGTAACGCAATGCCGTAATGCTGTACAAGTGGGCGATAACGATATGCAAACCGAGTCGCTGGAAATAGGACACTTGATTAGCTCTCTTGAGTTTACGATAAAAAAAAAAAGGTAAAGAGACGTATGTAGAACGCAATTATTACCAAAGGACAGACACTTGAATTAAAATTTTTTATTACTATTTTTTAGAATTGTCGAGATTAATATTTACTTTAATGGAATGACGCATGAAAAAAAATTTAAATTAAATTTTTATTAATATAATATTAAACTTCTAAAGTGTTTCAAACTCTCCGAATCATATCTTGCACATTTTCTTCGCTCTTTCAATCCAAGAGAGATATCCAAGTGTTTCGTTTTTTTTTTATTTTTTAGAAACGCTCACGCTGTACACGGACGCGTAAGAAATCGTTTAAAGTATTAATATATCACAAAAGCATTTCTTTGCTTAGAAGTCCCTAAGTGTTCGCTATATCAAATGGCATATAGACAGTTGCATTGCAATAACTAATAGGTGTAATTATTTACTTTCTAAGATATCAGTATTTGTATAGATCAGTTGTTAATGTACAAATTAACCTTTGTTTTTGCTTGTTGGAACGAGAAAGTAACGTACATGATACAAGATTTGCAAACTATGTACAATATACGTACGTACGTAGTTTGGAAATCTTATAAAAGAGCTTAATCGGAATCAACAATGTAATATCTATCGGGATATTTTCCATCTGCGATACAGGCGTCAATCCAACGTGTTAAAGGTGCAAGAACTGAATCGAGCGAGGCTAGTCACTTCGTAAAAGAGCCATTCCATATTTTGCACACTTACGCCAAGTTATATTTACGACGCATTTACGAGAGCAGGAGGAGAAGGAGGAGGCGTATCAAAGAGATCAAGTAATATCATAATATCGCGACTAGAGACTTGCACTGAGCACACTACTTGTATCGTAAGACGTTTTATGTATATGTACACACACACATACACGTAAATTAGCGTAAGGAATAACATATAATATGTATATACGAGATGTGCAAACCAAATCTGCTTTTTATAAAAAAAAAAGTAATGAATTATTTTAGATTAGTCCCGTAGATAGACAGAAAGGTAAATAGAGGAAAGCACTGTGGTTGCAGAAAATATACTTATGGTGCAAGTAATGACGTAATCATGTACAATAATATCCCCCCCCTCCTCCCCCCCTAGTTAATTTCCGTATTAATATGACACCTATACAACTCCATAACTTCGCGTTTTAATTTAAGTAGCAATCAGATTTCTTCCTATCCTTCAACCGTTGAAAGAAAAATTTCGTTTTTCCAAAAATTTCGAAAACCACTCGGATTATTTTGATGAAACTTGACACGTACGCACAGCTTCGTCAAAATAATCCGAGTGGTTTTCGAGATATTTGAAAAAAAAAAGGCGAAATTTTCCCTTCACCTTTGACGTCCTGTATCTTTCGAACTGAACCGTTTCGGATATAAAATCATGAAATTTTCGTTCTTGAATTTGTGCGAGAAATCATCTCTAAAAATCTTATACATTACTTAGTCCTGTATACATATTTTTTATACGACAAAGGGGCGCGACAAGAGAAAGCGGAGAGAGTAGTCCGGAATAATATACGAAACGTTTTGTTTATTTCTTGCCAAGGTTGCACACATCGGGGAACGTAGAGCTTTTATCTCTCTTCCCTCCGTTCGTGGTACAGTTAGACCGATTATTGGATTTCAGCGTGACACAATTAGAGTCTACAACGGAAAGAGCGATCTGAACGACGGTAGACAGCTTGGTACTATGTAATACAGTAGAAATATAGGTATACAAACGGTATTGTCGGCGGTACAGAGACTCGTGATAGAGACACGTTATCGATTATTTACAAAAAATCATTACACCGATTATCTGCTGGAAGAATTCGCTGCATGAGTTACGTTACAGTCGTCGTCGTCGGGGGGGACGAGGGGGGTTGTATATTCTCATGTCGAAAAAATGGGGCTCGCTGTCAGAAGGGGGCTGCCGTTCAGCGGACGGAGGCAGTTCGGTCAGCGCTCAGTGATCCTTTGACACGATTGGTCCACGATTAATTCTTCGCTGAATTTTCAAGTGTAGAAATCAATCGTAAAGTAATAAAACCCACGCAGCAAGATAACGATCTTAATAACGTCAAAAGACGTCTTAATAACGTCTCCAACGTTAATGAGACGTTATTGAAACGTCATTTAACGTTATCTTCTTTCTCGGGAAAGAATCACTGAGCGCTCGCTGACAATCAGCTGTTTTGTCCGTTGAACGCGCAGCCAATATCGGCAACGCTAATGTATGCACGAACCCAACAGGTATACACGTAGTGGCAGTAAATTTTCTCGTTGGTCACGGACGCACGCGCGCCTATTACACCGATAAGATGATGCAGAATTTTCACCCCAAAAAAAAGCGTATTCATTTCAAGAAGTGTAGCGGATCGACCGAAAGACGTTCGTTCGTTTTTTTTTCTCTCGTTCGATTATGTTAGGCTGAGAGAATGATAAAAACGAATTCGCTGATTAAGACACCAATTTCTGGAGAGGCATTCATCAAAAACCTAATAAATTACAGCTTATATTGATTAAAGCCTATAAAAGATAATAAACTCGAAATTAGCGCGATTATCGGAATGATTTTATTGATAAGGAATTGACATTGCGATAAAGCAATCACAAGCCAATATGGTTGAACTTGATTCTTTCATGTTTTCTGGACGATTGTCTTGTATATCCCCAAAATTAAGTTTTTTTTCCTTGACATTTTCAATCAAAATTAATAATTTAATAATGTGATATTATTCTTTCAGCTTTAAAATGTAATGTAAAGTTATATTCGAATAGTCATCATCATCATAGTCGATCTCTCATGACCCCCCATTTTCTATGTTTTAAATAATTAGTATAGATATGATTAAAGGCCCATCTATACATATAGTAAGTCGCAAACGCTCGTTTATCTCTTTTTCCTTTTTTTGACGTTTTTTTCTTTTTTTTTCTTCGCGTTTGCGTTTGCGACTTATGTAGATTGGCCTTAATAAATTAGTCCATTTTGATAATGGTGACCTTTCTATGTTAATCTATATATTATGTATAAAAGAATTAATTATTATTTTAAATTGAATGAACAAAATGGAAAAAAATTTAAATATATAAAAATAAAAAGAGCAACTAACTTTTGGAGCGAATTTTTAAATACCTTTTTGCGCTACAATTAAAAACGTACCATTTCTACGTGCCTATGGAAAATGCATGTTAAAAGTAAGCACTTTAAATGCAATTATCTTTTAAACATGCCTGGTTACTTCTCCTAAAAATTATGCGTATGTATAGAGAATATTATTATCTTCAAATTCGAAGTAAAAGTTTCAAACAAAACCTAAGAAAAGTCGCGATAAAACCACTTTAAAAGGTGAAACGTATAAAATTCACAAAAATTACTACATTATTACAGAATCTCAGCTATAACTGAAAATGATCGAAAATGTCAATCTATATCCCGCGTATCGGTCTTGCTTGCATATTACTTGATTACTAGAGTGTGTGTTCCCCATCTTTTTTTTTAATGAAAACTCTGCACACCCATGTACGGCACTACTTACACAGAAATACAAATATTATACAATATAAAAAGGCTTGTGTGTACGTTGGTGTATATGTGTATGGAAGATATGGTCAATCGAGGGGCCGCGATCTCCGGAACGTCTTCGAGGAACCTCTTTCTCGAAGGCAGAAAAGGAAAAAAAACCTATACGGCGAGTGTTGCGATGCGCGGTCTTCTCTTCGAAGATCCGACACGTTTCTGGAAACGAACCCTTCGATTTGATCCTCGGCGCAACGACACGATGATATCGCGAGGGGAATCGCGATGGCAGTCTTGTTTCATCCCCCCCCGGTAGGGATGAGAATATCTTACTTCCAAACTGACGGAGGCGTACCGTATCTTCCTCTCGCTTTCTCGACCGATCAGTCGGATAACGGCGCGCGAAACGGCGTTAACATTACTCGCTAAAGTAAAAGCGACGAGAAGCGAGGAGCTACTTGGTTACGCGCAGCCTATGTATAATACTCTTACACGGTGGATAGAAAATACTTAAAAAAAAAAAGAAAGAAAAGGAACGTTCGTTGTACGCGACAGACTTGCGGCGTGCGATGTGAACGATTCCCCGCTGCTTAGTAACTTAAACTTATTTTAAAGTTACTTCCTTCAGGTAACTTATTAAAGTTACTTAAACTTAATTAGACTTACTTCCTGGAATGTGGAATCGCGGGGCAGTGGTGAGGCAGTTAGACAGGGTATAATCAGTCAGGGTGCGCTTCGCTAAAAAATCACAGCAGGTACAGAACGAAACAGCGAATTGTCTTCCTAATCGAGGCGGTCAGCGAGTCGAGGAGACGCGAGTTGCTAAAATAAGAGACAACTAAACGTGCGGCGATTAGCTCTTTCTCAGCGGGATATTCCCGCGTACGCGCGAGACCCCGCTCCTTTTGTATCTTCGCGAAGTTAAACGTTCGGCCGTTAAACAATAGCTCGTTCGAACAAGAGACACGCGCGAAGAGCAAAACGCTGGATGCAATGATAATTTAGAAATTATGCGAATCCGCGATGAGCCACCGGCTCCGGCAGGCCACTGTCGCAACGCGCCTTTTGTTCTTCCTTAATTTACACAACAACTCCATAGTGTACACACTCATTCAATGATTCTCGCTTTCGCTTAACATTCCACATAATTCTCTTCTCTTCGCTTAATCTCAGCACATTAAATATAGGTATTATTTATGCCTTTTTCCATTTTTTTCCCTTTTTTTTTTGGTACAGCAAACGATCTAACAACCTAACACACGTCTAACAATCAAGGAGCCTCTAAATATAACGTCGCTAAATGCGTTTTTATAGCCACACACCGCTTTTATTACTATTTGTACAGACTTCGACAGTGCTTTTACTCGCGAAAAAAAGAAGCGTTACTTGAATCCGAACGCGGTAATCAGGACCGCCACGTTCTCAAGATTGTGAGGATGATGTTAGAAAATTACGAGATAATTTATAAAACGGACCACGTCTAATAATAAATATATTGGGTTGAACGGAGAATTCTTGTTTTGTTTTTTTTTATCAAATTGAAAGATATTTTTTTATTTATTTAGATATACTAGACGTCACAGACGCGCGCTTTGCTATTTAGCTTTTTCTTTTCTTACTACGACATTTACAATGCATACAATTACATTGCTATTAATCCTTCGTACAACTCAAAATATGCAATGACAATCGCTCACAAAATTAGCGCAGAGAGAGAACCAATCATCGTCGGAAAAGACAAAATAAAATAAAATACTTGTTTATTCAACAATGAACTTCGAGAGATGCAAATATCGATTTAACGTGCCTTTTTTGGATAGAGACTTTATTCATCCAGGTATTCAAGATGAATAAAGTTACATCTAAATAAAAAAAAACGCTCAAAACACCACTAATCTTTTTTCAAAAATTTTTTTAAAAACGCGCATTGGAATGTCAGCTGTCGAACGATATTATATAAATTACAGCAATTGAAATGAGGTCAGTTTGTCATGTATTTATATTAATGCCATCTTTTAGAAAAAAAGACCCGAACTTTCCGTTCAACCCAATAAAATTCTTCGCAAAATGCTTTTAAAAATCTTCCTAACGAGTATTATATATCTAGATTTTTATAAATTTACATGAGTAAAAAAGGAGAACGATAATAGTCTAAAATTAGAGAAGTGGCAGTCCTAATTGGGGATAATTGGAGGCTACTTAAACAGTAAATAGAAACAAGCGTGAAAATCTCCTTCCGCCGCTGACGCGGCATTCGCGTCAGGAGATCCGGTTCTAAATCAGCAATATTGTACCTCGACAGGGACATCTATTTCCGCAGAAGAAGAAGTAGAAGTAGAAGTTAACGCGTGTAATATCGCGCCTTCGTTTTATAACATTGGTCCTTTTCTTACTTCTCGCGACTGATAACTGATTCAGTATCGAGGCGGATCCAACTAAGAAGGCAGGCATTCCACATCACACTCATGATACACAATATAAAGTTACTTAGCTTGGAAATGTAATCGAAAAGAGTAAGCGGTAGGTACACACAAAGTGCCGTGTGCCTTACTCTTAATTGATTGTCGCGCAGAGTGAAATTTATCCGATTCAGAAGAAACACAAAGACATTTGGTCAGAATTGCATATAAATATAAGCAAAACATTTAATTCCGCCTATCAATTTCGTGATTATTTCCGTAAATCTTTACGTTCACACAATAAAAAAAAAAAACAAGAGTAATTTCTTGTAAAGAAACAAGTCGAAAGATGTAAAATAAATTTTTACCACAGCTTTGTTTTCGAAAAAAATATTTCTTCTCTTTCTTCTTAAATCACGCAAATTTCACGCTGCGCGCCTCTATAATAAAGAGAAATATCGATTATTACCGTTAGCTTATTACGTTCACACGCGGATGCGCAGGGGGACGCTGTCCGACTTGCATTCCGCCTCCAGCTCCTGCTTGATGCCGTCGAGAGTCTGATAGATCGTGCGGAAGGTGGGCCGGTCGGACGGCCGCCTGTTCCAGCAGAGCTTCATCAGATCGTAGATCGACTGCGGCGTGTTGTCCGGGCAGCGCAGCACGTTGCCCTCCTTGATGTACTTCACCACCTCCTCGTGCGTCATCCCGTAATACGGCTGCAGCGCGAAACTGAAGATCTCCCAGAGACACACGGCGAACGCCCACACGTCCGACTCGACCGTGTATTTGTTGTAGAGTATACTCTCCAGCGGCATCCATCTGACCGGGATGGCGTCCTGCTCGTCGCCTGCGTGATTAAGAGATACAAGTGATATGACGATCAATAGACATGGTTACATCTATTACAAAGTTTTCGCAAAAAAAAAAACAATATACAACATTGTACGAAGAGATATGAAAGCTGGAGGGTAACGATTACAAATTTTGAATGTGAGCAATTGGAATCCCACTCTATACAGTATACTTGAAAAGTGGAAGCAACTGCCGAATAATTTTCAAGACACTCGATCATCCTCTACCGCAGGATCTAAATAAATTCTAAACAATGAAGGTAAGGAGACGATGGTAATCACCTTTATAATAATCCTGCAGATATATCTTCTGCGACAGCCCGAAGTCGGCGATCTTGACGATCATCTGGTCGTTTATCAGGCAGTTGCGCGTCGCCAGGTCGCGGTGGACGAACTTCCGGTCGGACAGGTAGACCATACCGGACGCCACTTGCAGCGCGATGTTGATCAGATCCATGTGCGAGAGGCGCGAGGGATCGCCCGCCGTCGGGCCGCCCTCGTCCGCGCTGGGCACGCGGATGACGTAATTGCTGGGCGAGCAGGAGCGCAGGAACTCGTTGAGGTCGCCGCGGCCCATGTACTCGAACAGCAGGCACATCGGCCGTCCAAGCGCGCACACGCCCAGCAGCTTGACGATGTTCGGGTGATCGAACTCGGCGAGCAGGCACGCCTCCCGCTCGAAGTCCCGCAGCAGGTCGTCCGACGCCTCCTCCTTCAGCATCTTCACGGCGACGTTGGTGAACTCCTCGTCCGTGACCAGCCCCGGCGCTCTCGCCTGAAACACGCGGCCGAACGCGCCCTGGCCCAGATCCCGCACGTAGATGATGTTGTTCCGCGGGAACTCCAGCTTCTCCAGCTTGGGATTCAGCTGCGCGCTCGTCTTGTGATACGCCTCGTTGTTCGGCAGCTTGTCCAGATCGATATTCACGTCCTGCGAAGAGGAAGAATATTATTAAAAATCATTTTTAAGTCGTCGGAAGAAGAATTAGAATGCTGTTACAAGATAATTAAGGCGTAAATATGAATGAAAAATATGAGAAAAATATATTTGAAATAACTTGGAAGAATAATTACTTTTATTTATATTTTCTAAAGAATTTAAAAAAGAATTGTACACAGTTATCGATTAAGCTTATAAATTGATTTTTTATCGTAAGTTTCTTTCTGATAATTTAAAAAATTATTTTTTTATGGTTGTCGACAAACCTACTTGATTATCGGTCGGATTGTAGCCTCGATGACGTTTGTGCAGTCTTTGACTCAGCAGGATAGACAACAGCGCACCAGTTACAATTACGAAGCCCAACGCTGACAGTATGAGTACCAGTGTGTTATTAAATAGAGTGTCCATCATTATGTCTTTCGGTTCGATCTCCACTTTAGTTGTAACATTATCTGACAAAGATATCAAAACGTTATTTGAATGGGGCCACGTGTTTGAAATAAAAAAAATATTTTAATTAAGGATATTCATAGAAAATACATTCCATAAGAAGTGACGTAATGAAAAAGAATCGATATAAATGTTTCAATTATATTTTTAAATTGAATGTATTTAATTATACTTTCAATATATTAATGTATATTAATATTTTTGTTATACTATTTATATAATTAAATTTTAATATGCTATTAAATACCAACACAAGAGAAAAGAAATTTCTGATACACCGATTAAAAAGTTCTTAGTATGTCTCAATTGTACCCACCACATACAGGAATATCGCAATGTTGCCAGCGTATCGAGGGATCGGTCGTGAAGCACCACGGCATTGGCTCGTCGCCGCCCGCGTTTCTACAGTAATTTTCACTGTTGCGAATCTGCGGGAAGACATCGGGCGGTTTATCGTGACTGTGTGGCATCTGCACGCTCCACGACTGACAATCCAGTCCGTACTTGGTCTTGTTGGCCTTCCCCATGTAGAATCTACCGTTGCCCCTGATGCAGTCGTCTAGGAAAGATGGTTCAACGTTAATTTGTAATCCAATTAAGTCTCTAACATTTTAAATTATCTGAACGCGGTAACTCACAAGTGACGATCTCCTCGTCCATGTCGGTCAGGTGTACGTGCGAGCAGGTGGGCGTCTCCTTGTTCACCTTGGGCAAACTCTCGCATTCCGGCAGCACGAAGTGTCCGCGCGAGCGAATGTAAATGTCCCTCTGCTTGTTGTCCTCGATGATCGCCCAGTCGTTGAAGCAGAACTGTTGGCGCACCGCCATGCAGTCTTCGTAGCAGAGCGGTAGGCCGGTCGATTCGTGGCACAGCGGAAACGCATACACGCACAGTATTTTCTGCATAGATATAAAAAAAATTGAGAAAAGAAAGATAAAGACAACATTTTATCTCGTCAGCTCTGTGAGAGATTCGCTTTTTTAAAGTTACATTTCAAGACTTTCTCAAAAACATCTTAAAACTTCTTAAAAGTTATTTTAAAAATACTTTGAAGCCTTCTTAAAGCTACATTTCAAGCTATATTTCTCAAAAATATCTTGAAGCTTCTTAAAAGTTATTTTAAAAATACTTTGAAGCTTTTCTAAAGATATATTTCAAGTTATATTTCTCAAAAATATCTTAAAGATTCTTAAAAGTTATTTCGAAGGTACTTTGAAGCTTTCTTAAAGTTCTGAAGTATCGCACCTCTGCGGCTGAGCGACACGGCTCCAGAAGGGTCCCTATCAGCTCCTCCCACAGGTTCGCCGTGATCTTCTCGTTTAGCCATCCTCCGGGATTGTCGTTGGAGTCGTTAAACCACACCTTCCCAATGCCGCTGAGGTATCTCTTGCATATCTTGCCGCTGTACGGGGCGCAGTAACCTTGCGACTCTGGCTCTGGTGCGAGAGGACGCACAGAAAAGCAAAGATATCAAACGAGCTCGTTTCGCGAGAATCTACATTTTTGCATCGACTACGATGCGCTCAGATTCCTCATCCCTGGGATTCATCCAAGTATCATTTTACCCTTGTTGTTCACCGAATGTCAAACAACGATAAAATGATACTCGGATGAACCACCCCGGTGGGGAATCTGAACGCCTCCCGGGTTCACCCAAGTGTCATCTTACTCTTGTCGTTCGCCGAATGTCAAACAACGATAAAATGATACCCGGGTGATGGAATCCGGGTGGGGAATCTGAACGTGCGACGAGTAAGAGTGCGATGGGAGCGATACTTACTTGCTTGCAGGAGACCGAAGCGCAGGATTATCGCCAGCGAATAAACGACGGCCCAAAACACCATTATTTACAGTCATCTATATATACATACATATATATACACACACGTATATTTATATATATATATACATATATATATAAATATATATATATATATGTATATACAGATCTCACGCTGTCCGTGTAATAATATACGCGTGACGCAATGCGAATCCAGAAGAAAGCTCACATGTTTGTTAAAGGAACACGACGTTGATACACGGTCGTCCGCTCAGGTTTGCCTAACGGGCTTAACATCGGGCTGTTCTGACCGGCCACCGGCAGGGCTCTCGTACATACGCGGCCGTCTTCCTCGGGGCGACGACGTATTATGCCATTCCATAACGAGCGACGTGAACGATCGCGCAACACACACGGGGCTCCGTTGATCCTCCAAACATTTGATATCTCCGGCGGCGCCGATCAGCGGGTCAGATCATGGCGGCAAACTCCGGCTAAACTCCCGATAGTCCCGATCCGTTCGGTAGAGGTTACGACGGAGCTGCCTGCGCTCAACTGGCGCCGACCGCGCCGACAAGGTGTTTATTATAGACCGACGTATCCTAATGGGAGTTCGCGTGGCTGTAAAAATTTAAACAATTAGCACGTAACACTGACTTCATGACTTATTATTAGACCGATGTTAAATACGATAAAATTTTCGTTGAAACAAAATATATAGTTTAGTTATCAAACAATATTTTGTTTATAATAACAAATTATTTTGTGTTATATTGTAGCAACATTTAGTTGAACGTGTCGGACTAAATATTTTGATAAGATAAAACAAATTTTGCGTTTTTTTTTACAAATTTTTGTTCTCATCCAGTATAATCCAGAGAGAAGCATAGAAACTTGCATATCGACGTCTTCATCCATTTTTATGATTTTATCGACAGCGCCTGAAAGTGGATGTGGCTACGTAGTACCCGTTTCAAAAATGGATGTTACGGCGCTGATGTACGGAGGACACGGTGAGATTCCGCCGGTCGATGCCACATAAAAGGCGGAAAAGGCCACGGTATGGCCGCTCTTGTGCTCCTTACGCTTCTCTCTGATACTGGTCAATATGAACGACGTAAATTCCACCGAGGACAACGCGGCTGTAATCGCAGATAAGTTAGCCGAGCCACCAACGAATATGAGCAAGCGTCAACTGAAGAAATTGCGGAAGCAGGAGAGATGGCAGGAGCGGAAGCCCGAGAAGAGGTTAGGAACTCCTGATGTCACGCGGCAGCAACGTACGAAACTCTGTAACCTAATTGCGACGATTGTATACTTAAATTGCATTCATTTCGCCACCTCAAGGCGCCTGGAATAAATCTCCTTTTATTCAGGAAGAGAAATCCGTACAAATTCAATTTTTACAGTTTTTTTATTCTAACCTGCCACAATTTGAGAGAGACTCGCAACAAGAGAGAGATTTATTGTGCAGTTCTTTTTTAACAATTTTCCTCGTCACACAATTTCTCGTCTTTCTTTTCACACGGAAGGAAATTTATTTACGCAGTCTTTTCGAACAGTTCTCTTTTCAAACGTCATCTCGTAACGGTGTTTATTTTCTTGGTCGATTGCAGATTACAGGAGAGGATCAAAACGCGGGAGAAGCGCGCGTTCGCGCGCGCGAACAACCTCAGTCTGGGTCCGTCCAGGAAGTTCTTGAAGAAGAGCACCATGGCGGACAGCGCCTGCACGCTCACAGTGACCATCGACCTGTCGTTCGACGAGCTGATGATCGACAAGGATATCGCCAAGTTGACGAAACAGATATTGCGGTGCTACACGTTGAACAGAAGGGCCGCGGCACCCATGCAATTTTCCCTCACCGGCTTCACGGGGAAGTCGCGCACCAGCATGGAGAAGCACAACGGATACGAGCATTGGGATGTAGGTGATTGCAAATGAGGCTGCGTTTCATTTAACGCTCGCAGCGTTCGCGAGCGTTACTTGTCATTGTTTGATAAACAAGGATGAAATGATACCAATAAGAGCGTTAAATGGAACCCTTAAAGCGAACACAGCTTCCTTTTACTTCCTTTCGTGATTAGAATTGATAAGACATGAGAAATGTCGTCTAAATTTCGCTGGTCGCCTTACAGGTGAGCTTTCACACGGAGCCGTATATCAACATTTATCCCAAAGACAAGATCATTTATCTCACGAGTGAGTCGAAGAACGTGATAGATCATCTGGAACACGATTGCGTGTACGTCATAGGTGGTCTCGTCGATCATAACGCACATAAGGTGAGATCTTTATTATCTTTTAATATCCTAATAACCTTTTTGGCTAGTCTTTTTTTTCTGTGAATCTCTCTTTACATTAAAAATAAAAATTGCAGGGTATGTGCCACAAATTAGCGATAGAGGCGGGCGTTAGGCACGGCCGTCTGCCGTTAGACAAGTTCCTACAAATGAAAGCAAGAAAAGTGTTGACTATTGATCATGGTAAGCATTGCGAGGTTGAATTTTCCTGAAGCAGTTATCTCTCTCTTCAAAGCAATTATATTGCTGATTTCTGGAGCATCTCCAGTACTTAATTTCATGACAAATAAGAGAGAGAGAGAGAGATGATTTTACGAGTGAAATTAATGATGTGCTTTAGTATTTGAATGAATAGATATGAATTCTGCTTCTAATCAAGTTTCGATCAAAATTATGCATTGAGATTTACATTTTGAAAAAAAGATTGAATTTTTCTGAAGCAATTATAATATTGTTGATTTTTGGAGCATCTCCAATCTTTAATTTCATGACAAATAAGTGATTTTACGAGTGAAATTAATATGTGCTTTTTAGCATTTGGATGAATAGACATACGTTCTGTTTTCAATCAAGTTTCGATCAATAAGTTGTGCGTTGAGATTTACATTTTGAAAAAAAAAAAACAATTGACTTTTTCAGTCTTCGAGATACTGCTGAGAGTCTCGGAGGGCAATACCTGGCAGGAGGCGTTTTTAAAAGTGCTGCCGGAGAGGAAGAACGCTCGTCCGATCGGTTCTGTGCAATCCAAAGAAGACGGAGCGCAAGATTCGAAACCTGTTGATGTAAATAATGCGATGCCGATTGACACAAGTAATGCCGTACCAATTGATATAAATAATACGAGGCCGGTTGATGTAAATAACGTAGTTGATGTAAATAATACAGTGACGATTTTAAAAGACGTTTGCGATAAGGAGAGCGATTGCAAACCCGAGTGCAACGCAGACTCGAAGGAAATCTTAAACGAGAATTCGCGTATAACGTAGATCCGCGAACGGTGGAATTTGTACAAAAAAAAAACGCAAATATTTAAGAATTCGCGACGTGCAAAAAGCAGAATAAATTTTTACAAATATAAAAAAATACAATATTTATACACGCAAGAAATCGAACCGCGAAACGTTCGATCAAATCGATCGGATTTGTTTTTATCCGAATATAAATTATAATGGCAATTTGCCATTTCATTTTGACGCTAATCCTTTTTGCTGTTTCGCGATGCCGTGGGGATCTCAAAGTCTATTTTATCGTTCTATTTTTAAAAGGCCGCCGAAAAATATGCGGTTATGCCATATTGCGCCGCTAGGTAAAGGCCGTGTATATACATATAATAACAACAGCATATATTTTTGTATAGTCTGTCGTGTATTTTCAAATATACGAGATGCGTAGACAAGAGCAGCAAGACGGTAAACACCAATTATAAACGGGCTACAAAAACCGCGTCGGACTCTCGACAAAACACTTCGTCAATATCTTCTCGCGCATTGTTAAGTTTTTCTTTTTTTTTTGTTTTAATCCTTTTACACATCTCACAGACACATGTTACAATATAATACATTCTTACACATCTAAAATTGTTTGTTTGCGCTACCGAAGTGCAGCTTTTTTTTTGTTGATCATATTTTAGGTACCTTTTCCTCACTGTTCTGTACGGCGCAGCATTGCGCCAATTGCTCAACTGCGGTAATTAGGTCAAAACTCTCTCGCCCCCTCTCTCTCTCTCTCTCTCTCTCTCTCTCTCTCTCTCTCTCTCTCTCTCGCGGGTTAAAACGTTTGTACACAGGTGCATATTTATTACATTGCAAATGTACATACGCCTATTTTATCATCCAAAGACATTGAATACAATATACCCCCCTCACAGCGGGATATCGTATTGTACATATACATATACGTTATCTACAGTTGAGCCCCGCGATTCTTAAGATTCTCTGCCCCTTTCCACTCTTCGTTACTTCTTCTATCATGGGAGAGTAGCGCAAGACTAGAAGCGGTGGAGAACGAAGGAATACGGGCGTCCCACTGAATTCGTCTAAATAAATAAATTCTCTCTCTCTCTCTCTTACTCTCCTACCTTCGCGCCTTCCGCCGACCAAGCTCGATACTTTGTACGCGCGCGCGCGAGTACAACGAACGTTGCGATCGGGAGATTGAATTGAACTTAATAAAAATTTGATTGAACTTAATAAAAACGATATAATATATTAGTTTACTTATCTCGCTTTACCATCATATTCGGCCGGGACGATCGCGGTGCTTCAACCGAAATCGATGATAAATCGATTGTCGTTTGCTCTCGACTGACTCTCTTTTTACAATCCTCCATTCTCGCGCCCGCCCGCGGAGATCAGAGATGGTTTTTTTTTCCCCCCCTTTACATCGTAAATTTAATCGCGCGCGATAATCCGCCCTCCGTACTTTCACGCCGCCGTGTCGCGCTTCATCACATTTCTATCTTCGCTATCTCCTCCTTGTCGATTATCTCGAAGTCGCTGTCGCCGTTGTTGCTCTCGTCGCTGCTGACCGCGGCGGCTATCTTCTTCCCGTCGAAGACCTCCTCGGAGGAAGAGGACGAGGAGCTCTTGTCGAAGTGGCTGGCCTTGAACTTGATGCCGTCCTCCTCGGCGTCGTTCTCGCCGACGCTGAGCTCCAGCTCCGACAGCTCGACGCCGTCGGTGCTACCCTCGCCGTGGTAGGGCATGTTGAACGCTATCTCCTGGAGACCCTCTATGAAGTCCTCGTCGTAAAAAGAATCTGCAAGCGACACGCGACGGGATGTAATGCGGTGTCTACAATGAGACTTAAGATTTTAAGGAAATTGACCGGTCATAGTCGATTATCCATTTCACGTGAGAAGAATGATCGACTGTGATTGTTACCAATTTTCTTAAATCTCAAGTCGCATTGCAGACGCCGCCTTAATAAAGAAGATCGAACGGCGCGAATGGGAGAGATCAAGGCTTATTTTACTGGAAATTATTGGGCAACAAATGAGATGATAAATATGGAGGAATGTGGAATCGATTATCTCTGTTAAAAAATTATCTCGAAAACGTTTAGTATTTAAATCGCGAATTGAATTTTGTTGAATTTACACTCAAATTTATAATTAAAAACAAGTTACAAAGCTTGTCACAATACCATTCTGAGTGTCCGACAGCCCGCTCGTCGGTGTCGGCGAATGATCGCCCGTCTCGCCCACTCGATTCAACACCTGCAGATTCGCCTCTGTTACCACGGGTAAAAATTCATCCTCGATTTCGCTGTCGCATTGCCATTCTGAAAAAAAGTGAAAGGAAGGATATATATGTTTCCGTTCCACGTAAACGTTACGTAAGCGTAAAATTGAATATTCGAGCTCAATGTCAAATCTCAGCGAAGAAAAGATATACGAAATCTTTCAACCAATTTAATTCTCTTTATATTAAATCAATAACGGTTCCTTGATGGTACCTTTCAAGCGTTTCATTTAAGCCAAAATTAGATAGCTACATATTGTATATAATTATATTCTTAAACAGCCCAGAAATTGGAAGTTAATTAAGTTTCATTAAATTAAATTTAAATTAAGTCATTTTAGCATTAACACGAAAAGTACCAATGTTCGTTATTCACTGAAAGGACCAAGCAAATAAATTTCTACAAAAGAAAAAAAAATCAAATATTTCATCTGTATAGAGGACAATTATTGAAAAGGCTCAAAAAATTTTAGAGTCTTATCTTTTACACAAGAAATACAATATATATTAATTTAAAAAATAGAAATAGTCAATAATGCGATCGCTCGGTACTTCTAATGTTAATCTTTAAAACTTGAGATTCGAGTCTTTCTCTTTCTCTCTCTCTCACTCAGGGAAATTCAGATTCGCTGTCAATTACCTCTGTGCGACATAAAGTACTCCGATATTTTGTCAGACAGTTTTAGGGGTAATCGCAGTACCAGAGATGCCAATACAATGCCCCAGTATATCGAGTGAGAGGTCGACGGATTGATGTGGCCGAGGAGCCACAGGCCGAAGGCCACGAGACAAAGGACGATGCAATGCTGAAAAATTGTAAATAAGAATGCTCAATCTCTTCTTACAAGATTCCCTTCTTAAGAACAAAGGGATGACAAAGGGATTTCTTACCAATCCTGGTTTCTCGCTCCGCAACTTCCGCAGGCTTCTCCACAGCCAGTGAAACTTACTGCACACCCTTTGACATTCCCTGAAACATTGATAAAATCGAGATCACCATTGTTTTTCTTTTCTTCTTATTATTTAAATCCCTTTCAATCTCGAGAGCGAGATTGTTACGCGCGAATATACGGAAAGCTTCTTGTCGAGTTCCGTTAATAAATTTCACTGCTAATGAGCGGAAACGGCGAGTGAAATCGTATCGAAGATAATTCAATATTTACACGGAAACATTACGCGCGCTATTATTCAGCGAATTATCTCGGTGCAGTTATTATTACTCAGCAATTAGATAAGTACAAACGTATATAACGCAATGACGTAATGAACGGCATGCAATGATACGATAATACTTTCTCCCGATAACTTACACTGCAGGGGCCAAGGTGTCCATGAATCGGAAAGCGACCAGTAATTGGTTAATTGAATACACGGTGACAATTCTGAATGGTACCTGCGACTCCGGTATCCCTAATAAGCTGTAGAACCTACAACAAGCACAACAGTGTTGTAAAGCCGTGTGTGTTCGATGCTATAGAAAGATCGCTTCGAGATCTCGGACGGGGAAAGAAGATCAATCACATGATTCGAATAATTCGGCCAATTGATAATACGACTGGTCAATTCTTTCTCCGTCCGAGATCCCGGAGCGATTTCTATAGCGTCGTGAGAGTAGACTTAAGTTCCCGCGAAAACAATAGTAACGGTAAACGGGGCCATTCCCTCCCATAGAGAAACGTGAAGGGAGTTTGAATAGTAGGGTACCGTTTCATTTTTCTCGTACGATAAATTTTTCAAAAATTTAATTCAACATCTTATTTATTCAATATTATTTATGCAATATATTGCGTATATTTAAGTAATTTATTATTTATTTTATTAACAAGAGAATAGAACATTTTTGGAAATTCGAGAATTTTTGTATCCTGCAATCAATCACATATGGAAAATGTGTCGGTACAACAAAAGAAATAGAACCCTAAAAGGATAAAGCCACCTGCTTTTACGTTTATCTAAATTTATGAAAAATTTCCTTTGTCCCCTCCGGTGAAAAAAATTCTTATAATATCTCACAATATTTTTAAGAATTTTCATACATGTTGACAATTTCAAAAAATATATCTTAAAGTTCTTCAGATTTTATAAATTTTTCTATAGGAAATTATAAATTAAAAAATCTTAGAATTTTCAGAACTCAGAATATATATTATATGTATAACATATGTATAAAAAATTCTAGAAAATAGATTTTCAAAGTATTTTAAAAAAATAATCCAATTCGCATAAAAAAATCTGGAAAATTTTCTAAAAAGTTATAAAATTAATATAAAATTTTGAAATATTGTGTAAATAATTTCAAGAAAAATTTTCACCGGCGGTTTTTTCTGTATATCCTGCAATCAATCAATACATTTGAAAAATAAATCATACGACAAAAAAAATAGAACGCTGAAAAGATGAAGGCCATCTGCTTTTATACGTTTGCCTAAAATTACGGAGAATTTCCTTTGTTTCCTCCGGTGAAGAAGATTCTTATATTTTAAAACATATAATTTTCCTTTGCATATTTCTTTTTAAATCGGAAAGAACCGACCGACAGAATTTAGCAAGGACGTCTATCTCTAAAACTTGCAACGTTCACAAACGTAGATAAGTATGCGTATAGATTTCTAGATGTGTGTATATGTAAAAAAGATCTGAGTCAATCCAGCGACAAATTCCGTAAGAAACACAAAATCAATTTAGCAGTCGTTCTCGCGCAACGGACTTCTAACTGCGTCCGCTTTCATTTTATCCCGATTGAAAAAGACGTCATATTTCTCTTCGACATCCGACATTGATTTATTTATATATCACGCATTACGTAGGTATATATTGATTATAAAATCATTTCTCGCCTGGCGCGATCTTATCCGGTAAACAACTCGCGCATGCACGCGACACAAATCAAAACGTTAAATAAAACATTTGGCTTATCCTCCCGACGCGTAATATCGCGTGATGTTAATTTATAAATTATTCCAAGCGGAAGGAGAGCAGACTTTTGAATAAAACGCGCAAGGCACAAGGCACGAGAGTATCAACCAATCAGAGTCCTTCATTTCATTATTCTGATTGGTTTTCTTACACGCTTTATGCGTTATGCAAAAGTTTATACTCCGACTTTAAGGATAAATCACCACGTGTCGCTCTTAACGATAATCACAGCTCGCCTTTTTGATTACGCCTCGCCGATTTTTAATCGCCACGCCGAGGATCGAAGCGAGAATGTCGAGAGTAAAATGAAAAATAAATAAATAAATAAAGTAAAATAAAAATCGGAGTGTCGAATGTTGCATTAAAGGGAGAGTGACGGAAACTTTAAGGAAGTAAATTTAGTAAATTATTAAATTGGAGCCGAAAAATATGAAGAACGCAAAAGAAGCGTTTTAGAAGAGGTAAACACGGGTGAGAGCATCTTGTACATGTACCGGAAACGAGGTGCACTCGAATGCGTAAACAACGCAGCGAACTGAAAGTTCTTGTCGGGGATTTATCGTCACTCGAGATAAAGTTTAACGCATTTACGCGTTATATACATATTACGAATAACAGCGCGTGTGATTACGACATACACACGTATTCGTTATGCATGTGTGCACGTGCACGCGCGACCATGTGTAACTGTGTATACGTGTGTATGTATGTGTGTGTGTGTGTGTGTGCATGTATATGTGAAATCCCCACGAGCCGTCCGCGTTCGGAAAGGGGGCCTTGACCTAGAAGGCGAAGTTACTCTTGTGCACACGAAACGTAAAACAGCTGTAACGCCGCGCCGCGCCGCGGCCCGCGCGGCGTGACGTCACAGACGGTCGGAGGCGCGTCGCCGCGACGAGATGCAAAACACGCGCGTGAAGATGGGCTACGTCGTAGCGGAGGCGATAATCGAAGGCGCAGTAACGCGGCCGAGATAAGGACGACGTCGTTTCGAGCCGTCGTCGACGCGAGGCAGGGGAGGGGAGTCGCGGCGAGAGAAACTCGCCGTGTGCCCTTTAACGTTAGATCGGGAGGGAGGGAGGGAGGGAGGGAGAGAGAGAGAGAGAGAGAGAGAGAGAGAGAAAGAGAGGACCAGATACATTCTCGCGATTCGCGTAATTTTCCGAATTCTTCTCCGAGTTTTCCTTCAACTGGAACGAAAAGAATTGAGGCAAAAAGAAACGTCACCCTCGATAAAATATAGCGGAAAGTTATTTGATTATTGGAAAACAAAGGCACGACTGTAGAGGAGGAAGATCGAGGGCTCGGAACGAATCGGAGAATATAGTGTGCCCTTTAAACGCGGCCGGAGGGGGGGAAGAGAAAGTTTCAGAAAGGACGAGAAACGCGATTCTGCGATTCGCGTAATTTTTCCTTCGGGTTTTCCTTCAGCTCTTGCTGAAGGAATGAAAAGAATAAAGTAAAAAAGAAACATACTTGATTAAATATAGTGGAACGTTATTTGATTATTGAAAAACAGATGAACGACTATCTAGATGGAAGAGATTCTTTTTGACCCGAATGTCGCAAGCGAGCGGAAGTTCCGGGATGCTAACTTCACGAAGGTCTCGAAGTGACCAGTAGATGAAAAACGGCCAGCTCGTTCTTGGATTTATTCTTTTTTTTCAGCTGAACTTCTTGCGGTTAAGCTTCTCTCCTTTTTCTCTCCAATAATGGAGAGAAAAAAAAACGGAAAGATGAATCATGCAAGAAATCCAGTTGAAAAGGATTTATTGTTACGTGAATTTCTTTCATCTTTCATTTGTCTCCAACAAAAACGAGAGAAATATAACTCGTGCATAAAAATTCAAACGAAAAGAACAGGTTTTGGGGGATACACACGGTTCTCGGAAACTGACAAAGATTACAAAAGTGAGCGAATTTGCTGGAATATTTATAACTTCACTGATCGTACACCACGTGTAGTGAATTTACTCACTTTCATAACGTTCACCGATTCCCGAGCTCTGAGTAACAAGCCTCCCACCGGGGGGCCGGGAGGACGAGGCGCGGAGGAGCGCTCGAGAGAACGGAGGTGGCCTCTCCTCTCTCGTCTACATACTTCCTTGCAACGCGGTCGAAGGAAGCCGACTTTGGAGCACAACACCGAACAACGCACGCGTGTGCAGCGCGATACGGGCGCGCGTGCGCGTCCGCGGAGAACATAGAGATAGACAAGACCGATACTCACCAGAACGTCACGTTGAGCGCGATGATCAGATAGAGGTTGATGAAGAAGGTGAAGTCCTGCCAGAGCAGCGTCTTCTCCATGGCGCGGCAGTACCGGCACACCTCGCTCCGGCACGACGGGTCGCCGCCGCCGCCGCGCGACGACGCGGACGTCTCCCCCTGGGTAGGCGCGACGGCGGACGGCTGCGACGACGACGACGACGCCGTCGTCGTCTGCGTGTTGCCGTCGCGCTGCCCGGTCACGGCGATTCCCGTCGCTCGGCGGTACATCCAGTAGCACACGTCCCACAGCAGCCACTCCGTGGCTCGTATCACGAGCCGGCGACCGGCCAGCACTCGGTCCCGCACCCAGACTCGCTCCATCCTCCTTCTCCCCGGATCGCGGGCACGTCGTCGTAGCAGCAGTCGTCGTCGTCGGCTCGCTCCAGCGTGCACGAAGCACCACCACCACCACCACCACCACCACCTCCTTCTTCCTCCCCCGCCTCACGTCACGTCACGTCACGTCACGTCTACGCGCCCTCGCACACTCCTCTCGCAGCGGCGCACGTCTCTCCCCCCCGGGGTGGCGTCGAGACTCTCCTCCGGGTGGTGTGTTGCTTCTCCGTCCTCTGTACAGGGCGGCCACTATACACTACACCTCCTCGCCGTGCATGGCAAACGCGCGCTCACCCCGCCGCGCCGCCTTCCGTCCGAAAAAAAAACGATCGACGACTGCACGGAGTCGCGCGCCTACGGAGACGACGTTATTAATAGCGCGCGTGACACAAGTCTTCCTCTATAGTCGCGAGTGTGCGACAAACGCGACACGACCCGCGGACGACCGACGACGTGCAACCCGTACGGAGGGTCTTCCTCAGCTGGCCACCGCTGCCGCTGAATGCTGCTGCCGCTGTCGTCGCCACCACCACCACCACCTCTGCCGCCCGGGGCGAGGGGAAGGGGGAGTGGGGGAAGAATGGAGTGTACGAGCGAGAACGGAGCACAGCACGCGGGTGTCGAATCGCGAAGAGAAGCAGAGACGGGGTGGGCCCCCCCCGGCTACAGCTGTTGACCGAGGAGAAACGCACCCCCGTCGCACCCTCAATAGGCCCGATGCACGGCCACCTCGACAACGCTATTCTCTCCTCTCTCAGCTTCTGATGTCCGTCTATCCCTCTCCACCTGTCTATTGTGTTAATCCGTCTACCTGCGCCAGTATATACATATATATAATATACGCGCGCACCGCACTTCTCTTTGTTCGCGCCGCGCGCCTCCCGCTCCTCCCCCCTCCGGGGACGATGAACGTCGACGGCGACGCTGACGTGGGGAACTGAAGTCCGAGGCGGCCCCGGGACGCACGGATTTTCGGGCGAGGAGACTGCAGCGGAATTGATGTGTATTTACGCGCTTTGTGCGCCGTTCTGCGACGACCCGACGATGACGCGCGCGCGATGGAGGCCGACTGACGTATACTCGCTCTAGTATTATTTCGTTCGTATACATATACATATGTGTGTGTGTGGGTGTGTGTATATATACGTCGCGCTCTCTCCAGCGCCTAGCCCATCCGCGCTCCCACCATCTCTCTCCTCTCTCTCGCGCGCACTTTTTTCTCTCCTTCTCTCTCCCCTTCCCGCTCGCCGCGCGCGCGCGTATGTACACAACACGTGACAGCCGCACGCGAGTCGCGCTTATCACGACACGTTGCGCATCGCGTGATTTTTCTGCGGGGAGGAGGGACCTCGAATTAAGGAGTCGGAAAATTTTCGGAAAAAAACATTAACTAACTTTGCGTATACGCATGGAGTTGTTAATGTCTCGGCACGTGAGCCTGTATATACGCATATTCGCAGTTGGCGTGTGCATCTTATCCCGTTAAGCGTTACGCTTCGATAAGCGCCTAAATTCACACGCGGTGAAGGTAGATAACAGCCTCGATTGTACGCCCGCGCGTGTCGCGCTTATTTTCCTCCGGCTGCACCTTATTCGTGGTGCCCGTTCGCGACGAAAACAAATCTCTCTTTCTCTTTCTGTCTCTCTCCCTCTCTCGTGCGCAAGAGGAATATTTAATAAAATCTAACGCGCGTCGAGTTCCTCGGCTCTCCTTATTGCCCCCCTCCTCCCGCGACTGCGAACATACCGGCGTAATACTCATATTCTTTAGTCAGTTTTTTCTCGGTACTGTTTACCTGGCTATTTTATCGCTGTTATTAATTCCCGTGTTACGCGCTACATTTTTTCAACCCACCTGACGTCGCCCCGTTACAAAGTATGGGCAAACTAGTCGGGTGGGAAAAAAAACCGGGGTATTTAAACGGGAGATAGGGAGGGGGATTTTAAGATAAACGGTAAACCAGTTTACCGTCCCTTTCGCGTTCGGTCGAGTTTTAAAGGAAATTCCGAGCCGGGTGACAGGTTTTCCGGTACCTTTTTCCTGAATGGGCGCGTCGGTCAATTGATTTTTTTGTGAAACGCCCGTATATGCCAATTAAGCCCGCACGTGTACAGCTGAAGCTCGAAACCGCCGCGTATGTGATAAAACGTGTATTGAAACGAAAGCGAGATCGCGAGTGCCTCGCCGCTAAAATCGCGCGTATCGCACGCGCGATTGGTCGATTCCTCTCTCCGTGCGCTTTAAACTTTAAAAGGACACAGTGCGGCAGGTCAGCTTCCCTTCGATTCCTTATAAAGACTTGTTCCCCCTCCCCCCTTTCCGCCTCCCTTCTGACGCAATCATGAATCTCTTCTTTTACATTATCTTATGTTCTTCATTCGATTTTGTAACGCTTATTTCAGCAGCGAAGAGAAAATTCGCAAATGGAAGAGAAGACAATTTTCTTTACAATCTTTTAAAATGACTACCACGAATCGTTTTTATATGTTCATACATTACCTCTTACGTGGATCATTTTCTCTTCCATCTCTCCATTCTTCCCAACTCAGACTTATACACGTATGTCTGCAGACCGCCGTATACGTAAAAAAATTCTAGTCGTAAAAGGCCATTAGTATATCGGCCAGTCACAGTCGAGTGTCTGAAATATAAGTTTTGATTGCAATCGATTTGCTTTTACGGTTTTATTTTGCTTACGACTAAAACTATTTCCTTATACAGTGGCATTGAAAGACGTCATAATTGTTTTCTGCGAACCATATCGAGGAGCTTCGCGATGAGACTTTTAATGCGCAAAGTTATTCCATTTGTTATCATGTGACAAATATTGATAGAAAAAAAAATAAAATCATTTCTCGTAATACTTTATCCCAGCATCTTTATCCGTTGATTTCAAAATTTATTCAATTTGAATTATTATCTTATTAATTATTGGAAAAATGATGGATGAGGGGGAGATTATCTTCTTTGCAATTGAGAAATAAACGTCGATTCGCGATAACAATAATCTTCTCTATTCTCCTACAATTGAGATAAATGCGTTTATAAGATGTAGGTCCAACAAATCGATGTTTTTCTTTCCAAGTCGTTGATGCGAGAGAAATTGAAGGCTATGAGAATTTGCACAACTAACAAACAAGCCTTTTCCTGCAATCTCTTACGCATTTTAAAAGGTTTCCCGCTGCATAATTTTTCGACAATTAACTCATCATTCTGCTCGATGTAAAGGTAATTAATCTTCCGTACAGCTATGAGGAAAAGCGGCGCGACATACTCGTTTCGTTTAACTTAACATTTAACGCCGGATCAAACCGGCCGCATGGCCGCGTGTCTAACCGTTAATTTTTACACAATCTCCCGCACCGGCGCGCGCTTATTACGAAATCCCCGTTAACTTTAATTGTACAAAAAAAGAGATAAACTGTATACTTTCGCTCGTTATGCCGAAACACCTCACCGTCCGCGCGGCTTATCGTACGCATTAACGCGATGAAGAACGTAGTACAGCTGTCGTACAGTAAACACGAGATGAATCATCGAGGAATATATACGTATCTCTCTCTTTCAGATAAACAATTTTGATGAGATAATGAGGGAAAAATGTGACGCAGTTTAGATATTTATATTATTTCCGTTGTACCTCTTTCATTGCGTATATCTCGATCGATCCTTGACAAATTAAAACAATCTCTCGATCTCCGAAGCTTTCCGGAATTCGATTGGAATCTGTCTTTTTAAAATATTTCCGATATCCGTTCGGTAAATTAGGATAAGCAGGTACAAGAAAAACTTTAGACAAAGTATAATCAAGTTTAATTAGATATTAACTGTGACCATTTCTATTAATGTAGATTAATTTTATAAGTTCTAAGTATTTTTCATTTTTTTTCCACTTCTAAGAATTAGAAGTGGAAAATATAAAGAGTAAATAATAAGCCGAGAGTAAAGAGTTAATCTGCATTGATAGAAATGGACATTAATGAAGGATGGATGAATGTGAATGAGAAATCTTTCTTCTCTCTAAAAGTGAATCAGTGGAATCATCACCGATTTTCAACGTATATCACTTTCCAATGGCATACTTTGAACTGCGATAAGCAGCGACTATTTCAATGCTGCTTCAGTGATAATATATTGAAATTAATTCAAACAGTGAATATTACTGAAAGTGACAGTGAATTTTGTTTCTCAATACTGTTTGACAGTGAAAATCACTGTCTTTCAGTGATATTCACTATTTGAATCAGTATATTATCACTGAAACAACATTGAAATAGTCACTGCTCATCACAATTCAAAGTATATCAGTGGAAAATGATGTGCACTGAAAATCAGTGATGATTTCACCGATTCACTTTTAGAGAGTTGGCATCAAAGCTAAAATAAATAAATCATTAATATTCCGTTGAACACATAAAATTTGTCTCGTTTTTTTAATATTTATATATTAATATATGCTATCTCTTAGCACAAAAGGAAAAACGGAAAGGAGCTTTCCCTTCAACCCAATATTTTCGGTATATCTCATTGACACACTTCTCCTCGATCTTCAAAACTTTCCCGGGAGATTCATAACAGATACGATACGATTTGAGATATCTAGCGCGCGATTGGACTCGTCCTTTTAATATTCCCGATATCTTAATTAACGTATCTCATTGACAATCACCTTCTTCAGTTCTTTGGAAGCCTTCCACGAATTCGTGATCGATTCGAAACGGCGCAATTCGAGATAGTGACGTGATTAAATATAGTCTCGACACGTCGGAACAGGTGTGGTTCCCTCGGGAAGAAAACGCTAACGACCCCGGAAACGATAATTTCCGAGGCAGGGGCGGAGACTTTTAACTTTTCTAGGTGCGGAGTATCTTATCCAATTAAGCAAGGGAAGGATGGTTTCATTATCACAAATATTTTATCACTTTTGTTGTATGTGCGAAATATATTGTTTACACACACACACACACATATGTTATCATCAAAACTCATAATTGTTAAAACCTGATTTCACTAGTTAAAACTAGTTTTAAATTTAGTTGAAACTAATTGAGGTCTATAATTGTACTGTCCACATAGATTTCCGACTTTACGTCTAATCAATCATTCTAGTTTTAACTATAGTGAATTCGGGTTTTAACAGATTATGGCTTTTGACGATAACATATATATATGTACATATATGGGCACTCTAGTTAAATACTGTTTTTTGGCAAATCACTCGAAATTTCTTAAAATTTGTCAGAAATTAAAGTATATATCTTTTTTTTTAAATACCCCAAATTCTGGGAATGGAATTATTCCACATCCACGAAAGCGCTCTGGGTGTGGAAAGCTCCGCACCCTTCCTAAGGAAGTCTCCGTTCCTGTTCCCGGGGGGGAGGGGGGGGGGAAGAAATCGGCCACGTGTTCCGTATTACACACGTCCGTGCGTGGAAATCGAGACGTCGCGAGGAGGCTCGCGGCTGATAGCCGCGATCGATATGAAAGAAAAGGGAGCGAGAGCGCGCGTACGAGAAGAGATAAATGCATGTGTTTTCTTTCTCTTTTTCTCTCTCTCAGCTCCTTTCTTTTCTCCTCACGCATTTTTCACGCTCGCTCATTGCGATACACGCACGAACACGCGCGCGGCCGCCGCACAAGTACATCGGATATGTCGGTCAATATTCTTATTAATCTTCTTGACGTAAATCGATTTTTCGCGCTTCAGTCTAGCCCGTGCCCCGCTGCCATTCTGACCCACAATTGACCCGTCGGACACCCCTGCCGGGTTCCCAGGGCTTTCCTCGGGCACGCACACTCCCCTCCTCCCCCTCCTCCGGCAAATGAGGAAATAACGGCGCTTACTAACACATCGTATCTTTATTAGTCCTCGCACAGGGTTTTACATATGATCTATCGAGTCTGCGAACTATCGCACGCGTGGAGTAACATCGACTATAATTAATTCTCGTTGGAGTTATATAATATACATATATAATATATATATAAAAAGAAAAAAAAAACGCGCGATTAAAACGCCCGCGAGGACGCGGTTAGCGGTTTACCGTAAAATTAGCCGTTAAAAAGAATTGGTAAAAAAAAAAAAAAAGTAAAACGGGTTTAGACAAACAACACGAATAAATGTATGTGTATAACGATCGCGCGGTGAGCTCGATTTCGCTCGTCTACCGCGTCTATTATTAGTCTCTTTTTCTTCGTGGCACAATGGAGAGAAAGAGAGAGAAGGCCACTTCTGCGCCCCCCAGTCCTTCCGGATCGATCTGGTTCCTCCGTGAGATTCACGAATGAGAGAGGAAAGAGAAGAAGACTGAAATAAATAATTCAGCTGTCACGCACGCAACTGTTTGTCTTTCGGAATTATTTATACACTTTACGGTTATCTTCCGGAATCTCCTCGGTGTATACTCCTCCTACGTTAGAAATATCGTAACCGATTACGACTGACTACGTGACGTATGACGGCAGCTCCTTAATTATATACCAATGTACTTCAGGGGTGGGAAAGCGGAGATTTCCAGTTCGAGACAAATGCTTAACATTCAATCGTTCAGACTTTGAAAGTGAAAGTGAAAAGTTGAAAGGAAATTCCCATTTTCCACCGCAATCGTTTCTCTTTTGGAAATAACGAGAATTAGACGAGAGTTGAAACGGACTTTTCGACACTTTCGAAAAAATAGACGGAGTTACTAGAGAAATATAAGTCTATTTCTTCATAGATTTACAGATGACTCTTTGTATTTAAAGTGAAATAGATGTACATTTGAAATTTGCGATGAAAGCCAAAAAGAAAGTTCTAGTGCAGTAAAAAAAACCTAATAATTCGAAGAAACGGAAACTAAATCGAATTCATTTTCCGCGCCCCTCAGGTAATCATAATTCGAGAAAGACAAATCAGACTGTACTCGTGTGCTTTGCATCATTTTAACGTCAGAAACTTAGCTCTTATAAAATTCGACATCGCAATTAACTTCAGTTTGATATTTTCGGAACTTTTCTAGAACGTGAAATTTGAATTCAGATTCAAGTTTCAATTGAATTTATCATATTGCTGCTAGTCAAGCAATTATATTCTGGTAACTTCGTCAATTTTTTCGAGGGAAAACTTCAACTCTCGCTTCTTATTCGAAACTTACAGCGAAGGTAGGGCACTCAGAAAATTTTTTTTTAATTTATTACGATTCGGAAAATCAAGTTTTCCATAAAGTCTAAAATTTTTTTCTTCTAAATTCACCCCGTGAAGAATTGACATTTAATTAAGGAGCATCCTACATATGTATATGATATACATATATCTTTATATATATTTTTACGAAATAATGACGCGAGTCATAATCGTGGAGTTCATCATTGCCGAGCTAACGTTATAACACGGAGTAAACTTACTTCTACTCGAGTCGGGCAGTACTTTATACATTTATACAATTTCCTATAAACACTTTCGAGTTTCCTTAGTTGCGCAAAAATACACTCTAAACGATTAAAACGATTACATTACGAGATGAAAAATTCGCAGAGGTAAATGCAAATTCGTCGAATTTTCGCCGCGTGAAGTGTATCTTACAGATTGCACTGGTAAATAGTGTAAAAAGTCTTCGATAGTTATTCGTTTCTGATCGAAAAAAAAAAGAGAATGCCTCTTTTTCCATGACGGTTATAATGTAATATGAGACAATTTAATATGTGCGATATACTTCAGAATAAATCCAACACTAAGGCTAATAGTGTAACAGTAAAAAGTACAATAAAAAATAAAAAATATTAAAAAATATTAAAAATATTAAATAGTGCGCCCGCAGCGCGCGTCCGTAATGCTAATAAAAAATAAAAATGCTTCATGCACGGCCTATTTCGCTTCGTCTCGATATTACAATTCTGCGTTACAATAATTCTCGAATTATTACACATAAATTAACTCTCGAAATGCTTACGAGTGAGCTCAAGTTTCATATCTGGCGTGTAATTTTGCTGACTAAGAGCGACGTTCGTAACACTTCATGAGTCACTCCAGTTCGTTCTACTGAAAAAAAAAAACATTACGCACTCGAAATTCTAGTAGCTCGTAGTTTTCTAATATTTGCCGAGCGCTTTTCTTTATCTTGAAAGTGATAACGGAAATTTATTCTGACGCTGATTTATTATAACGCGTATAGAAAATAGCTGACACGACAAAGCGAAATAGACTCGGTATAGATGTATGGACTTTTCTCTCTTTTGTCGTTCCTCCAGGTTCCAAATTCATCTCTGAAGTATATCTCACGCATCAAGTAATATCCGGTATGTCGTTACGTATATTATAAGAATTGTAAAAAAAAAAAAAACAGGAGTTAATGCAAGCGCACTATAATAGTGACACGTTAAAGGCACTTGATTCTCAGAATTAGCCTAACTAGTGTGATTTTTAACTCTTCGTGGTCACGCCTTTTGAAAATTTCGTGATGGTCACACCGGAGATAAAATCAGCATTTAATCGATTGTCATAGTCAGTTTTGATTCTTTGGAATCAAAAAAATTACTAAACATACTAAACATATTCGTTGTAGAATATAAAAATATATATAGTGGCTCTTTGTAAAGATTTTAATTTAAACGTATAAAAAAAAAAAATCGTGAAAAATAAAAAAAGAGCTTTTTCGCTCAAAAAACATAACTTTTTAATTTTTTTAAAATGTATGCTATACTTTACAGGCACGACACTTTCAGAAAAAAAATCGTGTCTTAATCACACTGATTACTCGGAATGAGTAATGGAATCGTCTAAAAACGAACGCTGCTACACGCACACTAACACGCTGAGAATAATACTTTGTGTCTAGGTGCAAAGACGGTTAAACGTTACGTCACCTATCTTGAACTCCAGGTAGGTGATAAGTCAAGTCTTACTTTGAAATAAGAAATTTGAGATATAAATCCTCAAATCTTTTTTGGGGGTCCGTCCAGTGGACCTCGTATGACCACGAAGGGTTAAAACATGATCGCGATAAAATGTAACATTACGACTTCGTAAACAAATAGCGCGTTTCACGCGCGCGCTCGCGCGCACGAAATGCAGTCTATGTTATATATGGCAGTATTAAGTCATTCTTTACAAATATATATCAACAAAAAAATAGAGTATACCGTATATATATAATCTATATTTAAATATTAGTTCCTTTAAATAATATACGCTAAAATGTTAGCTTTAGATCTTGTTATGCCCATTGAGGGCGTTTCTCGTGTAGTTCAATCTCTTGCTGAGTTAGAGACTGAGTTAGAGACGAGACGCTAAATCGCGCGCGGCCGGCACTCGCAATCGCTTGCGAATTACTTGAAATCGCATCACGTCGCGGCGATTCTTTCCTGAAAAATCTCTCACGTTATCTTCCTCTCCGTTTTCGAGACACGTTATTTTCCGGCGTAGGTCGGATTCTTGAAGGTGGAAGTCGCTTGCTTGTAGATCGGATTCTCTCCCTATATAAAGCGGGCAAAAGGAAAACGTTACTAAAATAATTAACAGTAAATCTCACAAAAAATTATACTTGAAATTTTAACGATCTCTTAATTTTACGTTATCTTTTTATTAAATATTATATTCGAAATTCGAAATATTTATTAAATTATATTTCGAAAAATCGCGAACTTGTTCTGCACTCGAGATTTCCTTCTAAGACTTCCGAATAAAAATTGATTTGAGAGTGAAATTTAATTCTTAAAATCTCGACCTGATCACGGTTTACAACACGGGAAATACGAGACATACCGTGTCCCACTTCGCCATCATCCTCTCCTTCTCGAATCGGGCGAATTCTCGTCTATCGTGTATAGTCGTCAGCAGCTTCCACAGCAGCAGCAAGGCGAGACCGATCAGCACCACCGCCGCGATCACGCCCAGCACGATGCCGAGCATGTAGACCTGCGGCGGGCACTCGCGCTCGTTTGAGCGCGCACCTGCAGGCAATTGGTCTCGTTGTAGTAGTA